TGTGTACATTGTTTAAATTGTGTTACATACAGTATATATATATACAGTATGTAACACAAGTTAAACTGAAGTCAAAGCCATATACTAAATAGAATAAGAGAGTTCTTTATCTAAACAGGAAGGAATATTTGCTTATTCCATTCAGTATTCAACTTCTATTAGTAAATATCTATTGAAATCTATATTTCTATCATTGTCTTTTTCATTGTTTTGAATATTCCAATAACATTTAACTATTTAATATCCCAAAACAACCCAAATACTTCTTTCAAATACATAAATATCTAGTTTACAAAGAAAAATATATAATCAAATTTCTAAATATCACAATACTAAAGTATTTTTGTATATTAGCTTGTATTTGCAAAATTAATACATAATAAGCACAGTAAATAATTTCAATTTTGCATGTTTTTATTAATTAAACATGTTTCCAATAAAAGCAATAAAAAAAAAATCTCAAATTTTGTTAGTGAACAATTTAAATATAAGCCATCTTCTAATCTGGTAATTAAAAATATTCAGAAAAGCAAAAAGTGTAAATCTCTTGTGTTATTTAATGCACTTTATATTCTATTTTATTCAATCTAAAGAAGAGATATAAACTTCTAATTCAATGTGTGATTCCTTGTCATTTTATATAATATAAAATGACAAGGATTAATTTAATAACACATTTCTCATAATCTTAATTTAATAACACACTTCACACTTGGATTAATTTAATAACACATTTCTCATAATCTTAATTTAATAACACACTTCACACTTCACAATTCACAACACAAGGATTAATTTAATAACACATTTCTCATAATCTTAATTTAATAACACACTTCACACTTGGATTAATTTAATAACACATTTCTCATAATCTTAATTTAATAACACACTTCACACTTCACAATTCACAACACAAGGATTAATTTAATAACACATTTCTCATAATCTTAATTTAATAACACACTTCACACTTGGATTAATTTAATAACACATTTCTCATAATCTTAATTTAATAACACACTTCACACTTCACAATTCACAATTCAAGGATTAATTTAATAACACATTTCTCATAATCTTAATTTAATAACACACTTCACACTTGGATAATGTCTTAATTTGCAAATATTTTCGTTTCACTGTATATTTATTTATTTTCATTTATGACACTGATAAAAAAAATTATTACAATATTATTTTCTAAAAGATACTAGTACAGGTATTCCTCGTATAACACAGTAGTTACATTCCAAAAAAGTGCCATGTTATACAAATCCATGCTATACAAAACAAAGGACTAATGAAAAACATAGGGTTAAATCCCAAAAGTTAACAAAAGTATACTATTCTTTTTCATTACTAAGAGAAATGTTTATTAAAGCAATCAATACTTTATTTCCAATCAATAGTTATCAATGTTCCATGATAACTATTGATGGTATGAAAAAAACCTGAAGATGGAAAAGTAACTTTAATAGGTTGAAAGTGTTCACTTTCAACCTATTAAAGTTAATAAATAATTCTCAGTGAGATAAAGTGTTGTTGTGGAAATTAAGAAGCATTCTAGTTGGGTATTAATTAAACAATAATTAACTAACAAGCACAATTAAAAGTACTATTAATATTAATTTTAGTTAAATGAGGATGTTTTCTTTTTTTTCATAGTAGTGTCATCATCTGAGCTTTTTTGTTGATCTTGATCAGAAATATCAGCAATGCCTTTCATTTTTTTTATTTTTACCTAATTTTCTATGGATGACAAAATAAAAATATGTTATTAATTAAAAATTTGTTCTAGCAGTTCACATTTGTTCAGTTGAGTACAGAGTAATTTTTTCCAGAATTTGTGCATGAATATTGAATTGTTCCAGTTGAGAATAGTTTGAGTACTGAGATACCACTGTATTTCATTCTTCATTTTTAAGAATGATTACTTACCTATGATTAAAAAAAAAGGTTTAAAAACACTTACCTAAAATGTTTAAATGAACTTTGTTTACTAAATATGAAGATTAATCTGTAAAAACAAAACACAGTGACAGTCTTAAAGTCTGAAAGCAATGACAATGACACCTGGTTGATAAATTTTTTTTCTTTCTTGTTCCAGTTTTCATTAAAGTAAACCTGATGAAAGGCATAAAACAAATTGAAAATTTCAATATTCCAAAATCTGTGGGCAAATTTGAGACAACATGCATGCTTACTTGAATGAAAAAAATATTGAATAACAAAGTTTACACTTAAAAATTGTGAAATTTTGTATGGAGGATTTCTCTAACTGTGTTAGAGTGAAACCGTGTTGTAGAAGTATCATGTTGTACGAGGGATACCTATATATATATATAATGCTTATAAAATGAATTATATACCAGAGATTGTTGCATTTTTTTCTCTGATATATCACATTTCATATCTGTAATAAAAACTATGAATTTACTTTTTATTCTACTAATTTATGTTTATATTAAAAAGTAGTGAAGTCCATATTTTAATTATAATTGAATACTTAAGATTTAGACAGAAATTAATCATACATAAAACTATCAGGTGATCAAAAACTTCCTGTTGTTTCCAGATATTTTTAATTATAAGTATTTCATATTTTTATCATCACTACATAATTCATCATTAAAAAATGAGTAAACGGTTATTAAATAGTATCATTAATAATCGATAAAACATTTAAGACTTTCATCATACTTTTAGTTTTTAGAAATATAGTAGAGCGTTGATTATCCGAAAGTCGATCATCCGAAAGAATTCCAGTCGGCAAATTTAAATTTTCGCCAGTGCTGTGGCACTGCAATCTTTGGCTCTGTCTTGGGCTACTCAAATATTTTACATTTTTGATACTAAATTAACTTCTAAAGTATAATTTTTTATTGTTTTTATATTTTTCAATATATTTATTTTGTTCGTACAAAATAAAAAAATAATTTTTAATGATACAATAGTCTTCGTTAGGCTTAACATCAATGAAAATTCAACGCTAAGCAACACACAACGGAGAAAAATGTCAAGATAGGACAAATTAATATATTTTTTTGCACATAATCGGTTATCCGAAACATCGATCTTCTGAACAACCCCAGTCCCCAATTGATTCGGATAATCGACGCTCTACTGTACTTTACATATTAAAAGTGTATATATATATATATATATATATATATATATATTTTTTTTTTTTGTTTTTTTTTTTACTTACTTCATTATTCTCAACAGATGAACATATTGATTCTTCGTTTGGTTCATCAGCACTATGATTTACATTTGATAATATATCAACTCCAATATCTGTGGATGTAGGACAGCTGTTTACTGCTGTTGCTTGCCATACAGATGGACCAGAGTTCCAGTTGTTATTGCCAACAGTATTCCAAACAGAGTCATTTCCAATCTAAGAAAAAATATTTATATTATTATATAAATAAATTTTAAAATAGAAAACAATCTTAACATTTCAATGAAAAATTTTTTAATGAACAGTAATACCTCATAGTACATCAAATTACTAACTTTGAATATTCTAGAGTTTGGATGCTAAATTCAAGAGAAATTTGACCTAGAGGTTTTGAATTATTTATCAAACTGTACATGCAGTGAAAAAAATGTACTTACTATGTAAATTCCATTTGTTATGCACCCAAGTCATGTTGTGAAAGCATGTCTTGCATTACACTTGTGTGTTTTTAATGCTTTTTCACTTTATTTTTGATATAACTAAACATATCAAAAATATATACAAGAGTGATCAAAAACTAAGGTTACAAAGCCTGCAGTAAAAAGTTTACATTTTATTTCATACAACCAATACAGCCAACTGATAGTACATACATTACATTATTTTTCGACATAGTCTCCATATCAGTTTAGGCACTTGTCACTTCGTGTGATGAGTTTGAAAATTCCCTCCTGGTAAAAATCCTGTCCTTGTGTGTTCAGCCAAGTTGTCGCAAAGTGTTTCACTTCCTCGTCTGAAGTGAATCATTGTCCTGCTAGGTTCTCCTTCAAGTGAGGAAACAGGTGAAAGTCACTTGGAGCGAGGTCTGGGCTGTAGGGACGATGGTCGATGATGAACTGCTTCAACAGTGTGGTGGTCTTCTGGGCTGTAGGAGGTCACGCTTCCGAACAACATTCTCAATTCTACCATCAGATGCCATAACATGATCCTCCTGTTGTCCTACACGTGAGCTGTGTTGACATCTGTTGATGCCGTGCTGGGTCAATCCTCGTTGTTGATGTTTTCTCTACTGGCCGCAAACTTCCGACACCATTCTGCAACATGTTGACAAGACATTACAGTCTCTCCGTAAACCTTTACCAGCTGCCAGTGAATTTCAGTCGCAGTTACATGTTTCACCCACAGAAATCGAATAACTAAGTGGATTTCTTCACAAGACCAGTTTTCCAAACAAGTCACCATTTGTGTTTACCTAAAACTAGTGCTGTAGTTGGTGGGTGGCTGAAACTCTGCTCAGTTGCCAACCGCATGTATTGGAATTACCACACGTCTCATTTCTCTATAATAAATGAAACTCCAGAAATATTGGCCTTGTAACCTTAGTTTTAAAATCTTTACAAATACATATCATAACACATTTATAAAATGTCACAAATATATTGCTAAATTTATAAGTAACTTTGACCATTCATTAAGTTTTTTGAATAAATTAAATTTTCATTTAATTTTTTTATAGTATTTAAACATTGTTTGGAAGAAAAAATAGTTGTCGTGTTTTTTAAATTTTGAATTAACTTCTGAATATGTTCTTTTAACTTTTTTAATTTGTATTTTGTTTTAATCACTTTTTAAGTTTTTAGAGAGTAAAAAAATGAATTCATAAATTATAGTTAAATTTTATAATCATCAAATTGAAACTCAAAATTATAAAACAAAAATAAAAATATCAATTACAAATGGCATGTTAACAAAATGTAAAATAATAAACAAATCAGTAATATATATATATATATATATATAAACAGTAATCTCACATAACTTTTAATATTGGCTTGAATGGCATAATTTAATTTATTAATAAATTTTAAATCACGTTTGAATTAGATAAATAAAATGACAGAAAATAGCTTAGTTTTAATATTTTGGATGCTGTTAAACCTTTAACCCTAATTCTTTAAAAATACAACACATTTCTCCCATTTGATGTCATCACATTCCTTTCTAGTGCTTTTTTCACACATTAGTAATTACAAGTATTTTTATTCAAATTAACATTTAATGTTTAGGTATATGAATAATTTTTAAAATACTCTATAGAAATAATGCAAAAATATTTTAAAAATAGCCTTTTCAGATACCTCCACATTTTTTAATTATTTTTATAAACTAACATTAGCAAGATGAAATTACTTTATATCACCAAAACCAGATACCACCCTATAGTAGCATTGCTTCTGTAGTAGAGTATTGTTTGTACAAGCTGACTGACTGCAAAAATGTATGTAACCTTTTTTTAAAACAGCTCTTACTTTTTTAACTGTAATTGTGTTTATAACTTTGTATTATGTTCATTTCCAGAATTTATTTACTTCACAATTTATTTCATTAAACAACAATTTTAATCTTTGGTTGTTATTGGTACAGAAAACATAATACAACGTATGTGAAAAATCCAAAAAGTGGAATCATCCATGCATCGGCAACAAAATAGAATGTACCTTTTAAGTATGAATAAAAATGTAATTTTGAACTATTTTAATCATAAACCCAAATGCTTGTAACAAAAAATCACTTGTATTTTTGTAGATGCTGTAAACCCACCAAATTAACAAATACAGCTGAAGAGGGACAGACAACAAAATGAACACAATATCATAATAAACCTGTGTCTACCATCTGTGTGATTATTCTAACAATGTCAATAGTGTATGATAAGTACTCCACAGAGCAAAATTTAAGTACTAACAGATTCATAATTTTACCTCATTAAAAAATTTTTTTATATTTTGAACTCATCCAATAAGAATTTGTACTTTCTATTTTTCTAATGTGCACCATGCAGTTTGGACAACTGATTTCATTACATGACAATCAGAAGTCTGCTGAACAACTAGCAGATAGTTTTAATTTCTAAACTTTCTAAGGGTAAAACTGATTTGAGTGATATGGAGTTTTTAAAACCAAAGTGATATTTAATTAAAAATTTCATTAGGATTGCATAAATAATTAAATCATACCAAATGAAAAAATTATAATATTGCTAATTTTAAAAACTGTTAATAAAAATGTTATGACTTACAAATAGGGGTTTCTCTGCATCTTCTTCTGTCTTGTTATCAACAAAATCGCAAATAGGTGCCTTTTCACTCCAGCTATCAATACAAGGATTATAATTTTGGTCCCACAAACTTTCACTTACATCTGGTAGATCAAATCCTGGCCAATCATCTATGATACAAATTTAATTATTATTCTGTACTTTGCCAGAAATATAACAATTAAATTTTTTCTATATAATGAAAACTGTCACCATAAATTCAATCAGTGATGTTCAAAGTTTCTTAAAAATTTAAAATAGTGAAATCTCTCTTAGAATAATTGGCATTATCTACTTTTATAAATGGTCAAAATTTAAAGTACTATACAACCTTCCATAATTTTAATCAATTCCTAAAAATCAAATACAATAAAACTAATTTGTAGCTAGTATTAATTCCAATAAATTTTTTACTTTTATGTACTTTTTATATTTTTTTCAGTTGCTTATTTTTATTATCATCATGTACAGTAAATCAGACTACTTTTTTCCTAATCAGAGAATTTCAAATGTTCACTATCTTTAATAATCAGCATCAAATTTTATAAGGTAAACTATCTTGTGAAATATCATGCTGATAATGTTACTGTCTGAAAAAGAGGCATGAATATTAAAAATTTAAATATAAACATCCAACAATTGCCTAAATGATCAGGCTACAACATGGCTGTTATAAATAATTAATACAAAGTAATTTGCTAACTAGAGGTAGGCGTTAGTGCCATCCTCTTTGGGCGATCGTTGGATGTACACACACACACACACACACACACACACACAATTATTGGGCTTTGCAATGTTTGTTATACAGTAAAGCATCAATTATCTGAAACAATTCGGAACTGGGGTTGTTCAGATAACTGATCATTTACAAAAAAATATATTAAACACAAAACTGTACTGTATATAATTTGTATCACATGTCTTACAAATACATACCTTACATAATGTAATACATTAAACTAGACCTACAGTTCAGTTTGGCAAGGAGAGGAAGAGTGCTGCAATGCCACAGCTCTAGCGAAAATTTGAATTTGCCAACTGGAACGCTTTTGGTTAACCAATGTTTCAGTTGATTGGTATTTGGATAATCGATGCTCTACTGTATTTAAAAATTTTTTAAAAATCAAAACTAAAAACAGCTTTTCCTTTGATTGCTCTTTCTGATTGTACAATGAAAATTTGAATATCTTTGAAGCCTTTTTCATTTATCTTCAAAGCAAAGATTATTCTGCTAGACACTGTACTTTCAGTTTTCTATTCTAACTTACATCTAAAGTAAATATGACATAACGAACCTATAACCGATGCGTATCTAATTGTTCATTCAACTACAAACGTTTTCTTAACCCCTTCTGGGCTCTTCCTCAGGTGAAAACCTGGATCGAACACCAAACAACTAACAACGAAATTTGAATAAATCCGAACTCTGTTGAATTTGAATCGTTCAGTTTGTTCGCTTATTCCGTCGCGTGATATGCTTGAAAGTGTTCTAATTTGACGATCAATGTTCAATTTAAGAGAAAGATATTAATGTGATACTTAAAAAACGTGCTAGTGAGATACACAATTATTTAATATTCTCACATGTTTCCCAGTACCTTTTATTTTAAGGCTTAATAAATATTATTTCGCTATTACTCTGTATGTAGTAGGTTTTGCCATGCCATGGAAAGGCCGATTTCATCTCTTGAATTAATACAATTGGATTTGTCGTATGCCTTAAAAATTTCCATCTCTTCCAACCATTTTAGTTGGTGAATGTGGGGTGTGGTGGCAATTATCTGTGCTTTATTGAAGTCCACCACTATTTCAAGATCAGTTGCATAGGTGGAGAGTGATGTTGTGTGTCTGTTGCATTGTATATCAGATATATGTTCTTTTAACCTAACCCCTAATGAACGTTTAGTCGATCCCACGTTTACCAGATCTCTGTTAAACCTGTTATCCCTTATAGGGATTGTATAGACGCCTGATAATTTCTCCATCTTGGATCGATCCTTTCCGTTGCATAGGATATCGAACAACGTGCTGCACCTTCTGTATGCTATGTTGACTTTTCGTCTTCCAACCTAGCCTGTTTTCTAGACGAAATGAATGATAACTTGTATGGACTGACACTAGAGATGGAACAACACAGTAACAGCAGAGTACATTTCCTGGATTTGGATATAAGATTTGAAGATTCCATCATCCGTGCATCTGTTTTTCACAAACAGTCCAGTGTATCGGCATACATACCAGTAAGCTCATGTGATCCCTTCCAGTACAAGATGGCTGCCTTCAGGGCATTAGTCAAACAAGCTTATACGCACTCTTCCACACAAAAAGCGCTAACGGATGAGTTAAAATATTTAGAAGGCATCGCCAGGTCCCACGGTTACCGCAATATTATACAAAAAAAATCTCAGAGGGCCGCAAACAACCACAGGCTTCTTCCAACAATACAGCAAGCACGCAAAACATTAACAAGACTATGGAAAATGTGAGGATACCTATCAAGTTCAACCTCTATTGAAGTCTCTATACAGCACCATTGCTAAAGAACGAAAAATCAACATAGCATACAGAAGGTGTAGCACGTTGTTCGATATCCTACGCAACGGAAAGGATCGATCCAAGACAGAGAAATTATCAGGTGTCTATACAATCCCTATAAGGGATAAACAGGTTTAACAGAGATCTGTTAAACCTGTTATCCCTTATAGGGATTGTATAGACGTTCATTAGGGGTTAGGTTAAAAGAACATATATCTGATATACAATGCAACAGACACACAACATCACTCTCCACCTATGCAACTGATCTTGAAATAGTGGTGGACTTCAATAAAGCACAGATAATTGCCACCACACCCCACATTCACCAACTAAAATGGTTGGAAGAGATGGAAATTTTTAAGGCATACGACAAATCCAATTGTATTAATTCAAGAGATGAAATCGGCCTTTCCATGGCATGGCAAAACCTACTACATACAGAGTAATAGCGAAATAATATTTATTAAGCCTTAAAATAAAAGGTACTGGGAAACATGTGAGAATATTAAATAATTGTGTATCTCACTAGCACGTTTTTTAAGTATCACATTAATATCTTTCTCTTAAATTGAACATTGATCGTCAAATTAGAACACTTTCAAGCATATCACGCGACGGAATAAGCGAACAAACTGAACGATTCAAATTCAACAGAGTTCGGATTTATTCAAATTTCGTTGTTAGTTGTTTGGTGTTCAATCCAGGTTTTCACCTGAGGAAGAGCCCAGAAGGGGTTAAGAAAACGTTTGTAGTTGAATGAACAATTAGATACGCATCGGTTATAGGTTCGGTACGTCATATTTACTTTATACATCCAGGTGTGCAGTTGCTGTTATATAACTTACATCTACTCTACCACTTATTATACCACTTACTATTCTACTTTCACCATTGTTCATTGTTTAAGACATCAACATTCAAAAATCAATATTTCGTGTTCTATTGTATTTTTTAAAGTGAAAGTACTTTAAGTGGCAATTTATATTTTCAAATACAATCAACATGCCTTAAAACGAACACCAATAAAATGCATTCTTGCATTAAACCAAATTTTGTCAGTGCCCTGGCAAAACTCTATTGTCACAATGTTAATTTTTATGTTATAAAGCCAAAAATTTTACCAGAATTCATTAAATTGAATTGTAAATTATCTTCCAACACCCAAGAAATAACCCTATTTCCAATAATTATTTTATTATTCATGTCGTTGAAAAATGTCAAAAGCAAAGTGGTACTGTAATAAATGTTCTATTTTGAGTACAATAATTTTCTTCTCTTAGTAAACAAAGATGGTTTGACCTCTGATTGTAAAGCAATTCGAACATCTAGTTTTAGCAGATCATTCTACTGTACTCAGAAAATAAAGGTGAAAGTTTAAGGACACCTACCCCTTTAAATGGATGCAGTCCCATGCAAACATATGCTAGTTTGCATACCAGGGGTGCATACAGTAATGCCAGGCTTGGCTACTTTGCACTAAATTTGGCTGATCCTTTTTAAAAAATATTTTATACTTTTTCAAAAAGTCTTCAACCAAAAAAAAAAAAATTACAGATTTCTTTCAGCTTCTTTTTGCTCTTTGTTTAACCACTCTGATATATTGCACCACACTTAATGGTAAATATTGTATCCACATTTTTTTTATTTGGAAATCATTTAGATCGTTCATTTATTTTTCTAAATGAATTTAATTTTATTTAACTTTATTTAGTAAATTAATTCAAAATATTATAATTTAGAGATTGCAATTGCCTATTAATCCTTAACTCTGTAAATTATACAACCTTGACCTTAACCCAGAAAATCACTAATATGAATTTTCAATACAGCAAACTACTACTTTTCCCGTAGAGATTCATATTAATGTAAGTTGACTGTATTCAAATAAACTGAACTTTTTCCATCAATATAAAAATACAGGATGCCTCAAAAAATGTCATTAAACTTTATTGTTTATTATGTATTATACGGAACAGCAATACATGTAGTCAAAACCTAACATTTATTTACCCTTACAATAAAATTAGATATTACTTACTAATTCAATCTGTACCAAGATATATTTCTACAGTGTTAAGTTACTATAACTTATTGTAGATGTTGATTACATCTGAAGATTGTACTTACTGTACAATGCAAGTTGCTTATGATACTCATCAATACGTTGACGTCTCTCTGCTTGTAATGCTTGCATAACTGTCATGGGTTGACTCCAAGATGGACTTGATGCATTTGATGGGAATGTATCTAAAATTAATAAAAGAATATATATAAATTAATTTTAAAAGATTAATAAAATCAATACTTTAAATATACAATTAACATTTCTTTTTTTGGGATGATTACTAAAAAACATATTAAATTTAAAATAGTGGACTACTAGTTTTTACTTAATTGAAAAAATGCATTTTGAAAAAATAATTTTACAAGATTACATTACAATTAATGATTTAATCTATTCAACAAATATCCTTCAATATTTTGATAAAACTTCAAAACAAATAAGCATTTCAAAGATTTTAATAACCAGTGATCAGAATAATTATTAAATAAGTAAAAATAATAGAACTAAAGCATTATTATTTAGTTCATATTATATTTAACAAATCTGAAATTTTAAAGAATATATTTTAAAATTATAATAATTACCAACAAAACCAGAATCACTATCATTGGATATAAAAGTATCAGTTTTAAGACTAATAGGAGGCAGTTCAGGTAATTCAGTGAAAGACAACTGTTCAGGTAATGGATGAGCCAACCAGTTTAATAAATCTGCAGAACCATCATCTTGTGGAGTTTCAGGAGATCCAGCAGTAATGACTGGGGACATTTGAGGAGTATTACAGTTCCAAACACAAGAAGTATTTACATTCATGGAGAGAGGATCTGTCGTCAAAAGTAATGATGATGGTCTTTGACCTATTAATCCTAAAAAATTTTTTGAAAATAAATAATTTTATTAAGATTTGAAGGCATTTTCTAAACTTAAAATTATTAAAATATATTATACACATATGTATATATATATAATATTGAAATTACTAACCTGCATTTTTCAAAGTTTGATTTGTACTCGTCTTTAAATCATTGCCATTTTGAGCAATTGTAGTTTTAATTTTTCCTTTAATGTTTCGACTATCTCTACTAACAACTGCTGAATATGTAGAAGAATGTGTATTGTTTCCAAGAGAATGACTGTTAGAACACCATTTTCCATTATTAAGATTATGTTGTAATGCAAATGCTTCTGTTTGATGAGCCAATTCTGAAAATGCTTCATCTAAAAAAATTTCAACATCTTAAACTCATGTTTACATTTTTAAAACTAATTAACCTTCATTTATATTAAAGTAACAAATTTTTATGCTGACAGTTTTATACCATAAAAACTGTATGTATTATAAATTGTATGTTTATATTAATTAAAATAAAATTAAAAAATAAACAAATTATTTTACAATATGACTATCATATCTATTCATATGTATTATGTAACTTAAAAAAATAAAAAAATATTTTCTGAAAATAAATAAACAGTTTATTTTGAAATATTTTTAATATTTAGAATACATCAATATAGGATGTTGAAAATACAGCAAAACCTCTTTAAGACAACAAACTCCAAAATTTAGAAAAATTGATCATCTTGTCAAAAAGGTTAATGAATATATAATGGATACAGAGAACCTTATACTGTACTGTGTCCAAAAGCAATGCATAATATACAGTATATAGTATTCTAGTGTAACTGTGTGGGCTGGAAAGCTACTGTGTGGGCTGGAAAGTGTTACACAAGCAAAAACTATTTAAAAAAATGCTATATACTGATTAATACTATAATGCAAGAAAACCTATTTAACACATCACAAGTAATTGTAGTGAGTATCATTCTCACACTCATCCAAAGAACTATACTAACATAAATAAGCATTAAATACACTATAACAAAATTATGAAAACAGCAAACTTTTTATAACAATTTTCAGATATAGAATATATTTTTTTATATCTTTCTTAAGATAATAAATACAATATATTGTAAGAAAAACTTACAAACTGGTTTGCATGTAGAAAAGAATACTCAAACTAGACAAATTTAAATAGTCGTATGAAGGACTTACACATAGCATTAATTTTTCATAACAATATCACAGTTTACATGTCCATCTTTAGCTTGGATGAGCTAAAATTATTTGGCATAGAATTCACAAGAATTTCTACAATAGTTTATCTGAATGAGTATCATTTTGGCTAATGGCTTTTCCAGTTCTCCAATTGTATTATTGTTTATTTTCTGGAACACCATAAACTTTTTATTGTATTTCAAAGACTTCTCAAAAACCAGTCCACAACATCAATCTTCTCTCATTGAAACAGATTGCTAATTATCTATTAGCAATCTGTGTAAATAAATTTATTGACCTACTGGAATTTCTATTTTGGTTTTCTGATGAGCAAAACAAATGAAATAAAATGTTCATAGAGTAATTGCAAACACAGTCAAATTCCTCTATAGATATTTAGCAGAACAAGAAAAAATATTATTGTAGAGATTTATTGTTATAATGAGAGTTTTTAAACTATCCCCTCTCCCATTTAACTTTACTGGATTACAAATAGTTTATTTCTACAAAATTAGAAACACACACAGTATTATTAGACATATTATTATTTACAAAAACTTTTGGTGCTAAAGCATCAAAAACATGTTAATCTGGCAGCCTGTCATCTGTACTGATGCCTACTAAATGCAGGTAACATTCATGCTGAAATTGTTGTATTAAGACAGTACCACATTTTGATTCTAAAATTAAGCATCATTTATTATCATTGTAGAGAAAGAAAAATACCATGCATTTTATATGTTCAATAAAAAAAACATGTATTGCTACACAAACATTGCAACAGAAAATATTGTTCAATCAGAAATAAACATCTTCCAACACTAGAGGAGTTATACTTCAACATTTCAAACAACCTTTACAGCTCCAGTGGTATTTGTTTACACCTTAGCAAATGTTTTCAACCTCATCAAGGTCTTCATCAGGCTGCTTTACTTAGGAATTCGAACGCGTTTGGAACTGAACGTATACGATTCAAACTTTATAAACCAATTAAAAATACTTACGGAATGTTATGCACGCACTAAAACGACTGTAAAGCACGTGTAATATCAAGTTTGCGTAACGGTGGAAGCAGACGAATTATACGCACTCATTAATGGGGATGAGTTCCCTCATAACAAAACTTCCACACACTAGATATACCAATTGCATCCCTGGAATTGATGCACATGCCATGTAATCCTGCCTTGTATATTTCTAAAGTTTCCATCGTTCTCAGTTGATCATTGCGATGTGAGAGCCTGATCATGTGGGCATTTTGTCAATCAGTTCATTAACTCAATGAATGACAACCCCTATGGCCTGAACATTAAATTGGACCAAAAAAGCAACACCGCCGTGCATTTCCTGGACTTGGACCTTCAAATTAAGGATAATGTGATCACATCCAAGGTCTATTACAAAGAGTCCTATGTACCACTTTTCATCCCCGCTAATTCGGAGGATATGTACTCCTACAAAATCGCGGCTTTTAGGGCCTTAACTAAGAGGGCGTTCACGCACAACTCCAATTATCAAGACACCATAGCTGAACTTATACACATTCAGGAAATGGCCACACAACATGGGTATAATAAGAACTTAGTACATACTAATATACTATCACTGCACATCGGGTTGTATATAATACAATAAATCTGACATACTGAACCTTTAACTTAGTACATATTATCGCTCGCGCTTACATACAGGCTTGCGCACAAGACACTGCCAATGTGCATGGTGAACATTTAGATAACGAGTGTACAAGAAAAATCGTGGGGTACAACCACCATCTGGACACAATATACAAAGAAATTTCATCCATCAATAAAACTAAGATAGCTTATAAAAGGCCTAGATCAGTTTACAACTTGCTTCACAATGGGAAAGATGCAATCGACCTAAAACACGCACTGGAGGTATATGCTATCCCACTTTAGGATGAGAGATTTAACAGCAGTTTGGTTTATGTGGGGTCAACCAAACGCTCCCTTCACACGTCTGTGCTCACGCAGCCCTTCACAAAAGGCTGCGTGAGCACAAACGTGACATCAACAATAAAAAACACACCACCGCCCTCTCAACGGTTGCCACTGAACCGGGAATCACGGCCGACATACAAAATGCCCACATGATCAGGCTCTCACATCGCAATGATCAACTGAGAACGATGGAAACTTTAGAAATATACAAGGCAAGATTATGTGGCACGTGCATAAACTCCAGGGATGCAATCGGTATATCTAGTGCGTGAAAGTTTTGTTATGAGGGAAATCATCCCCATTAATGAGTGCGTATAATTCGTCTGCTTCCACCGTTACGCAAACTTGATATTACACGTGCTTTACAGTCGTTTTAGCACGTGTGTAACGTTCCATAAGTATTTTTAATCGACTTATAAAGTTTGAATCATATACGTTCAGTTCCAAACGCATTCGAATTCCTAAGTAAAGCAGCCTGATGAAGACCTCGATGAGGTTGAAAACGTTTGCTAAGGTGTAAACAAATACCACTGGAGCTGTAAAAGTTGTTTGAAGTGTTGAAGTATTGTTCAATCAGGAGAACTTTTAGTTTAAGCTAATATGAGTTATATATGGAATTGTATTTCTTATCATTATGAAAGGATTTATTGTTATATCAAAAAGTGCTGTATCAAGATTTGACTGTAGTTTTTTAAATCAATTTTGCCAGAAAAAAACCATTAACTCTGCCTTTCCACAGAAAAGTAAATTAACCTCCCAAATCAACCATTTCTTCTCCTTGCTGTCTCTTCATTTTAATTAATTCTTTAATCATTTGACTGTTCCAGCAATATTCAAACATATTGGTCCATCTAAATTCAATTTTTATGCCTTTATGCTCAATTTTATGTTTATTTTTGGACACAAATGTAAATATAAAAGTATAGTGAAAGAAATTACCTGTTATTTAGTTCAGATATTTATTTAGAAGAACATGAAATTTATAAAACAAAAAATGAATTTACAAAAAAATTGGTATCTGAAATAAAATTATGATTTTTACACATTTAAAAATTTTAGATTATAAATTTTAAGTTCAATATTCTATTTTAGTAAGAAATAAAAAACTAACATAAAAATAAAAAATACTTTCAAAAAAGTAGTAATAAGAAATTTCTTAATTTCTTATTACTACGTCATGACATTATAGAGTATGCCTTATGCTAGGCCATCCATTATACTGACCATTGTTTTGAATTGGTTGTGACTGGTCCCAAATAGGTGGAGGAGACTCTTTGCCTAAGTCACTGCTGTCAGTATCTGACATGAATGCCAGTGGATAGCCTACACAGTACAAAAAGTTATTGTTTTGTGCAAAAAAAAAATGAATAAAAATAAATAACTCAAAATTATAACTGACAAATTAGCATATAATTCTAAATTATGCAAAAATAAAATATCACATTGAAACTTAAACAGTATAATTTAATATGCTTAACTTTCAAGATTTCATAAAAGCATACTTTTAATTACTGGAAATTAATATTTAATTTTGATTATCTTTTTTTCTTCAATTTTCTTTGGTGTTTTTTGTAAATAGTTATTTTGCATATCTGAAAACTCTGAAAATCATAACCTTTTAACAGTACAATGACTAGTTTACTCATATATGCATTTAGATCAGTACTTTTGAAGGCATATGTGATATGTTTGAAAAGTTTCTGGCCTACCTGTAAAGAAATTGTTACTGCTTGTTGAAACTTTAATTAACCATATTCAACATACATGTATTCTTCTCCTATATCAAAACACTTTTACTACAAATAATCCAGCTTGGTTAACACTTGATAAAAAAAAAAATGTATCTTGGTGTCACACCAGATATGCACTATTTCAATAAACAGCATCATCACTGGAAAATGTGTCCCTTTCTTTTCATACCGAGAAAGCAGTGAAAATTTGACAGAATCAGATCAAGTGAATAAGACAATTCATTAATACAACTTTGAAAAAGTTCAAAGTTGTATTAATGAATTGTTTATAAAAACTGATGTGCTTAATGTAAAATGATTCTGTATCTCAATATTGAAACTTAAAAGAATTTCCTCTACATTCCACAATTGCTGATCAAGTTGTAGCAGTAATCAGCATTGACTACAGCATCACATTTAAAACAGTCATTATATATTCATTGACTGTCCTTTCTTTGTTCAATCAGAAGTATACACTGTGAATATCAGAAAGTGGAAGCCATGACATTTCTGGCAATGATTTGAGTTCTGAGTTTTTTTGTAAAAAGAGCAATCTTGTGCTTTTATTGATGTTATGTTTCAGAATCAAAGTGATGCATCTAAAACTCATCCTAAGTGATCAATGTACAAGCCTTTCCTGCTGACACTCAGACACTGAAAATGGGATTCTGTCAACAGTTCACAAAGGTCCACTGACAGACATCAAGGGATTTATTTTGCTGACACCTTCTGCACATACCATGATTAATGAATGATCACATGAACTCTTTCATATACCACCTAACCTGCAACAAATATCTTTTAGGATTAGCAAGTAACAATGATCCTGAGTCAAGAATGAATTTTCTTGACTTTTCCATTGATATTTTTGCCATGTTTGGTCATTCAGAATATGATGAGTTTGATTGGTTTCATCCAAGAACTAAAGTATTGCCATATCAGCATGGCACTGCTCTGCTAATAAATCCATTTTGAAAGAGGTATCAAATAGCATGTTGTACAAGATACTCCTTAAATATAGTAGCATTCACCATCTTAGCAGATAAGTCCATCTAGGGCATAATAACAAAGTATACTCTTCAATAAAAATTGAAAAAGCATAGTAATAAGGAATACTACCAAGTGTAATGGGTATTCCTTGGTCCTGGAATTTCACCTTCATATCAGGCCAGAAACTTTTTAAATGCACTTTGTATTTCTAATCATGACTACTCTCTGAATGCAGAACATAACTAAATTTCAGATGTGAAAACATGATGTTAAGTGGTACAAATTAATACATAATTTATATTATACAGTAGTGTGTTTTATTAATTTCAGAATTTTTGAATTTTCATTAACTTGACAAATGATGGGCCATCAAACAATAACTCAGTATTCAATTAGCTAAAATGCTAAAGCCACAGACATTACTAATTAGAGATAAATTAAAATTAAACTTAGTAAATGACAATGTAACTATCTTTTGGCCAAATTACATAATTGAACTATTAATAATTAGTTACATTCTTGTATAATTCAAACTTACTTTTTTTTTACATTAAGTAAAGGGTTATTCTGATAATAATAAACTAATCAGATCATGTACTATAAAGAGCCAATCAAAACACAATTTTACCTATTTCAGTTGCCAAAATATTCAGAAATTTAATGTAAAAAGAAAGTTTTTTTATTTGATTAATGCAAAAAACTTTTAATGATCAAATCAGTAAAACAAATACCTTTTATTAACCTGTACCTATTTACTAAAAAATAATTTCCATTTTTCCCCATTTAGCTTTACTTCAAATGAACTGATCAGAATAAAAAGAAATAAAATTTTATCACAGCTTAGAATGTAAGGTTTCACACCCATTAGATAGCCATATTCTGTAAACTGACATAGAATACATTCATAATTGTACATGCATTGAGTTTCTTAATGCAATATAAACTCAATAGAGTATATCCTATGTCAGTTTAGAGAATACAGTTACTATTTCAATTTCTGCACATGAGAAAAATTACTTCATGTGATATATCTATTAACCAGGGATGTAGTAGTAAATTAAGAAGTGCCATAGCACTAACTGGCATCCCAAATTTGAATCACATCACCTCTATACAGTGCAAAAATTGCCATTTGGCAGTATTTTTTTTTTTATTAAAGAGACAATAAAAATCCCAGCATGTTTACTTCGACATTGAGAGTGAAACAATCAGAAAGCACACTTCAGGGAAAACAGCATAAATGTCTAGCTCCTGTGCAATGGGAGTCCCATGAACCATAAACCTAGCAATTTCATGATGTTACACAGCCAGTTGAGCAGAAAAGTAGAAAGTGACATTGAGAATCAATGGCAGTTTTCATGTAATGTTGCTCAGCATTTTCAAATTGGGAATTTTTTATCGACTGACAGAAAATCTGGGGAATCTTTTTGGGGTGACATTTTTCAATTTGATTTTTTTTTTAAAGTAAACTAAAGCAAAAATTTTGACATCACAGAACACACAAAATACTGTTTAAACATTATCATCAGATGTCTTATTCATTTGTATCAGAATTATTCATTAAAAAATTGTTCCTATTGCTAACAAGGAGAGGTTGTAAAGTACTATTTTTAATTTGTTGCTCTACAACGATATTTTTCTTAGAGCCGGGACCTAACAGGTACTTTATGTGGGTTCGCGTTTGTTAGTTGCCAGGCCTGGACTTTTAGCGTGCACCGAAATAAATTAAGGACAAAGTTAGTCACAAAAAAATCTCAATAATAAATGTTTAATCAAGTTTAACCAATACTATGTACAAGATTTATAAACAAACAACAAATTTATTAATCAAAAATCAAATCACAAATCAACCCGACAAACTTAAGTCTTATTCTAACTTAGAACTATTCCCCTTGGAATTCCGACAAAACAAAATCCAATTCTTAACTTAGATACAAATTCTCTTATAACTATCAATCCTAACCATCACCTCAATTAATACTCGGAACCTTTTCTTCTACTCAAGACTTTCCTATTTCCAAATCACCAAAATCGAACCTTCAATTCTCCTACTAGGATTTCCTATTCGACACCTATTCACTGCTACCAGCAGACCAACGCTTTCGGTTCAGGAGCTCACCTCTTCCGTCTTCACTTGAGCTACTGTACTTATAGTATGAGGTGACGTCACAGTTCTACTGTAGCCACTCCCCTCATTTACATATCTACACATAACATTGTTTTCTCTTCGTTATCTGGTAGCTTATTTCTCGACAATACTTTGTTAACCTTTTACAGCATTTCTTTAACAATTATCGGGATGTTTTGTTAAGGTTACACAAGTTCCTAGAAAGTCTATTGGGGTGTCCCCCCCCTTCAGTGCGGACTTACAATTCTGCCGTTCGGGCGTGCAGGTGAGTGCAATGCTAGCTATGGCGCTATCGTTTCGTCGTCGGTGAGTTGGTTAATCTTTTTATCTTCTCGTTTTGAATGTTAGGGTGGTGGGTGAGGAAACCTTCGTCCTAACCAAACATAAGCCCCAAACAAAAATATAATAAAGCAAAGTAAAAGTAAACTAAAAATAAAGCACGGACTTGGTTCCTTACAAGGCCCTGATGTTCAGTCTCTGATTCGAACAAAACATGATAAGCATATTATGTTAAAAACAAGCAACTCCTTGTCCAGATAATAGGATCCACTTCTCAAGCATTTTCAAAATTAAGGTCTCTGAAAATTGAGTGTTCACCTTATAAGTCTTTGGAAGTTTTATGTACCTGAGCAGCGATAGCATAATGTATAAGACACTAGGCACTGGAGCTAAGATGGTGTAGATTTGAACCTTCAGAATTTTAACTTAGCTTTGTTTCATTTATGTGTAAAATTATTATTTTACATTGTTAGCATTATTATTATTCCTCACATTTAAAACATATAAAACAAAAGATTATTAAAAACGAGACATCATTTCCTGTTTACTGAAAACGACCTAAGTCCATGATGTTGTTAAATAAAACTTTTATTTCTTCACATTTATTTTCAGATATTTTCACTCATGATTACATACTATATCTTTACAAGCAAATAAGCTTCAGATGTTACTGCTCATGGATGAAAAGACAAGTGATATGAAAATAGGGTACAATAATTTCAGCGTTTTATTTTTTTTAATTGTTAATATTATAAACAATTTCCTCATGTGCTCATGTTTGTTAAAGTTCAAATACAACAATACCACCATATCTGAAAATTAATGTAAAGAAATAAAAATTTTATTTAACCACATACAACAGTTAAATCTACAAAGACTATTTTCATTAAACAGAAAACGATGTCATGTTAGTAAAAATCTTGTTTTATAACCTTTAAACATGAGGAATAATAATACAAATAATAATGTTACACACACAAAAATTAAACTAAAATTTTGATAGTTCAAACCTACAATGTCTAGCTCCAGTGCCTAGCAACTTATCCACTCAGCTATCACCACTCAGAGATATGAAACTTCCAAAGACTTAAAAGCTAAACACTCAATTTTCAGAGGCCCATTTTTCAGAAACGCCTGATAAATGAATCCTATTCTTTGGACAAGGAGTTGTTTATGTTTAGTGCTACATGCTCACCAAGTTTCATCTGGATCAGAGACCCAAACCTCTGCCCTCTCCTTGTAAGAGGCATCTTAACATGTTACTTTTGCTTTCTAGATACAAACTGATAAGGCTACCAGCACCTGCATTAATTAGTAAGTAAAACTGGTAGCAATAAATAATTTGAAGTGGAAAGAAAATTTAAAACTAGTGAATGGTTGACAATATCTTTAAATTTTCCAGAGCAACCCCTGTCTATCTATGGAGTTTTGTATGGGCAAAGCACAACTTTGGGGCACAAAACCTGCAAAACAGCTTAGATGTGCCAAAAATTCAAAAATTACCTATATATATTAATAATCAGTAAAAAAAAACTGTGCAAGAACTAATTTTCTGTTTTTTTTTTTTTTTAATTGAGTTACATAATTTAAAGTCCAACCTAGATGTTCACAAAGTACAAGGACTTTGTGCTGCTTAAAAAAGTACCAGGGTGTCACCCTGGTATGCTCTAGCACAGTGTTTCTCAATCCCCCCCGCAATATTGCCCCATGTGGGCGTTTTTCCCATGTTCAGGGGGCAATTAGCAACAATTTATATTTTGGGGGGCGAAAAACAATTTTCTGGGCGATATAGTAAAACATTATATTAAGAATAATTAGATATTTTATTCGTTATACCATACAATAATTAAACAAATAACATTATACTAGTCACTAGTCTATTTAATGCAGTACGAATTTGGCATTATCCATGTCCCTGGGCATCGGAATTTCGTAGTGAAGGGGGTGATACTATGTAACGGTTTTATTGAAGAGGGCAACGATTCATTAGAGGTTGAGAAACATTGCTCTAGCATGACAACAACACTGCTATTGATATACATCAAACCTTAAACCAAGAAGACACCTGCTTCCAAATTCTCAAAACTTTTTAGAGATTTGAAGATGTTTGGAAAATACAGTAGAGCATCGATTATTCGACTCAATTGGGGACTGGGGTTGGTCCGATAATTGAAAAGTCAGACAACCGAAAAGTATGAAAAAATCCATTATTAGTGTAGTATCTTATTATATCCCATGTAATTAGTATATTAGTATATTGCTATTAACCTACTTCGCATTGAATTTTCCTCCATGTTAAGCCTATCAATTTTTTTTTTTTTAATAATAATCATTGCTACTGTATCGTTAAAAATTAGAAAATTAAGCCTTGTTTAAATACTGTCTCCCTTTCATGGTCGATCCAGTGTTGCCAGCTAAAACATGTAAAAATAATATTAAAGTAGCCAAGACATAGCCAAATATTGTAGCACCACATCACTAGTGGACATTTGAATTTGCCGACTAGAACGCGGTCGGTTAACCGAGGTGACAGTTAATCGGGGGTCGGATAATCGATGCTCTACTGTAACTCATTCTAATTAAAATGTTTCTTGTGGTCACCGATGATGAGAAGTAACAACTGGTTCCTTGATTTAAGAGTTTATTGTATGTTGATAAGTATTATTATTACAGTAGAGCGTCGTTTATCCGAAAGAGTTCCAGTCGGCAAATTTAAATTTTCGCTAGTGCTGTGGCACTGCAATCTTTGGCTATATCTTAGGCTACTCCAATATTTCTTTTGTTGGTGTGTGTGTTTTAGCTGGCAGCACTGGCACTTTTGTGTTGTGTGGTGCTGAATCAAACATTTTTGATACTAGATCAACTTCTAAAGTATATTTTTTTGGTTTTTATATTTTTCAATATATTTATTTTGTTTGTACAAAATAAAGAAATAATTTTTAACAGTTCAATAGCCACGATTATTATTTTAAAAAGTTTATGTTTGGCTTAACATTAACGAAAATTCAACACAAAGCAACATGCAACGGAGAAAAATTTCAACATGGGATAGGTTAATAAACAAATAAACGATGCTCTACTGTAATATTAAATTATACAAATTTGATATTTTGTTTTTAACTTATGGCAACTAATATCTTATTAATACTTAAAGTTTATGATTTTCTTTACATAAATGAATTCTATTTCATGCTCAGCTGTTTTCTTTCTCCTGAAGTTAAATATGTATTGCATTAAAATGTTGGAATTCAGCATTGAGAAGGAAAAATAACTCAGATATTGAATAGTGGAAGAAAAATTTATTATATTTTGTATAGCATGTTGAAAACAATTCAATTTTATAAGTTGATAGCTTAAAGTAGATTCATAAGTTAAAATATCAATGAGTAGCTTTCTCCAAATATAATTAATGATATGATCAATATTGTGATTTCCCTTATTCCTAAAAACATTTAGATTATTAAAATAAATTTGGAAAAATATATGCAGTAATACCCCGACTTAAGCAAACCCAGAATTACGCGATTTTCAAATCTTGTTGATTCTTCTTTTGTTTGAGCGCCATGCAACCCTTGATTACTCACTCCCCCCACACTATTGTTCAGCTTACATGTTCGGATGTGTCGCGCCAAATCCATACATAGCTAAAATTTATTTTGTGTTATTTATTTCTGTGTTTGTTATATCTACGAAGACTCGAGAGACTCTACTATGTCATCCAAACGAAGTAGAACTGATTCTTCTGCATCAAACAAGAAAAGAAAAACTTTATCTTTGGAATGTAAAGTTAACATTGGGTATGTTCGTAAAGTCGAACGAGTTAAACGAGAATGACGTCATCGTTATTCCTATTTCGTTAGACTTTTCGAACGATTCGTTACTAACGCGTTTAACTCGTTTGACTTTACGAACGTACCCATTATTAAAGACTTCGATACAAAAATGAAAATTTGTGAATTGGCAAAGAAGTTTGATCTACCGGAATTGTCGGTCAGAACAATTATAAAAGGCAAAGAAAAAATTCTCGAAGCTGTGAAAAATGCTCAATCTTTAAATTCAAGCATCATTCGTAAACGTCACAGTATTATCGCTGAGATGGAAACAATGTTAAAATTATGGTGTGATAATCAAGTAAATGTGAAAAATTGTATAATAATATAATTTGTTATACATATGTATTATCTAAGATTTTATTAAACATTTTTTTCTAAATTATTGTTTTCTTTAGTCTCCGGCCCCAATTAAAAATTATTTGTATGTATTTATATGCGAAATTATACCCCGACTTACGCAGTTACAATTCGGTCCCACCTATCGCATAAATATAAAGTTCATACAATGTTAATAAGCTTAAATTTCTATTCAAAAATGTTCTTATGAAAGACTTAAAAATAGACACTCCATTAAATTTTAAATCATTTCCAATGTTAAACTGAGTACCTATTTAGTACCAATCTGCACATGCTCATTTCATAATTGCACTTGCTTCATGCCAGAATCATACTAAGTTTTATAATTGTTTTTGTTTCAGTTTTACTGAAACAAAAACAATTATAAAAGTCAAAAATATAATTTTTATTCTATTTACATTTCCAGAGATAAGATATTCTATAAAAGTGAAAGATTATTAAAAATATAAGCCTTAATAGCAATTAGTAATAGTAACCATATCAAACTCAATAAAATTTCAGATAAAAGGCAAAAATTTAAGTAAAAAAACTCATTTAATAAAAGTTAAAAAAATATTTCAATGTTAATGACTAAAGTAATTCAATGATGAAATAATTTTGTTACTTTTCAACTTCAATCTCTTTTAAAAAAATTTATAAAAGGCATAGATCAAAACTGGTTACCTTTAAAATTCAATTAAAACATAACTAAATCATAATATTATAAAGGGATAAAGACCACTTTAAAAAATTCACCTTTTGACTTTGATACCGAAGATCTAGAAGATATTTTGGCACAGAAATTATTAGAATCATCAGGCTGAGATATATTTTCTTTGTTTTCATGAGATAAAATTATTGGTTTAGGTCTATATGGTAGTTCCAACGTACTAAAGATACATAATTTTATAATTTCAATAATAATATATTTAAAAATAAAAATTAAAAAATATTTATAATTCATATAATGATACAGTAAAACCTCATTGCATCATTCCTGTTACAGTGACACCTTGCACTTCAAATTTAATTCATTCCAAGAGAATATTCAAATTCTGAATCACTCAAAGTCCAAATCGATTTTTTCCAATAGAAATAATTTAAAGTTTATTAATCCATTCTCAGATACTAACAATGCACATTTTGATGAATTTAAAACAGCAAGCAAATATAATTTAAGGTAAAATTAAGAAATTAAAACATGAAAAAATAAATAAAATACATAAATATTGTATAATAAAGTGAAAATTGCATTTACTAATTGCACACCATTGACTTTGACATCTTAAACATGGCTGTCAGATAAGCTACACATGTACCACTTTCATTCTTTGCAATAAGTTCCTTTTTCATCTCAATTGTTGATATTACAACCTTCCTCTTACTCTTCATTGCTTCCACACTTCTCCAATGCCATGGTTAATATGTAAAGGTTATACTGAGTTGAAAAAAAAGTTGTTACATTGAGTTAAAGAAAAGTTGTGCATTTTTAATAGCTATCCTTACTATAAATGTGTGATTTAATTACAACAGTTGTGGAATTTAACACACTGCTATTGTAAGATTGTATTCTCTTAGAAGCTATTTTAAATTTTTTACTTTAGATTTTGTTTGAATAAAATCAAGTTGAAATGTCTTCAGATAAAAAGCATATCAGATATATTATGCTTTATGAGTTTCAGAAAAGATATAAAGTTATATAAACAGTAAAAAAAAAAAAATTGTAATGTGTTTGGGCAACATTCTCTTAAACTTCAAATATATCAAATGTGGTTTAAAAAGTTCCATTCATGTAATTTTGAACTAATGGATACAAAACATATGGGGTGTCCAAAAGCTGTTGATGAAAAAAATTACAGGAAAAAATTGTTAATAATTGATGAATAAGACACAATATATACAATCAAATACACCAAAAACAAAGCAAGAAAAGCACTAAAAATAAATGAGCATAGAACGAGAGAATTTTGGCACACAACAGATTGCATTTATCCTCTGAGTATAATTTTTCACCATGTGCACAGTTCAAACTTTGGAGCATCATTCAAAACTGAGGCAAATTTTTATCAAATTTAGCATTTGAACTCTGAAGTGTTCAAAGTTACATTCATTTGAATTACAGAGTGCAACTGTACTTTCATCTTTCCACAAGTATTTCTGATTTATTTGTCCAAAACTAGACCCATATAAATAAAATTATTTTTCCCCTACCTACATCATTCCTTGAACTATTGTTTTATTGCACCCATCATTGAAAAAATCATGGTCTTCATCAAAATTTTCCCATAAATTGACAGCTTTTTAAAATTTGAAACAATGATTTAATATCACAGGGAAATGAATGTGACAATCTTGAATAAGTTCAAAAAATTGACACTGCCCATATATGCCTTGCTTTCTTAGTGTCACCTGCATTGATTACTGCATTTAAAAAAAAAAAAAAAAAATCAAGCCAGCCATCAAATGCAGCCCTCCACAATATTATCAAAGCATATTTGACCCATAAACCAATACCAGAATTGAGAAATTTTCTTGATTTCTATTATTTTGATTTTTCACAAGATTGAGATGCATGTATATTCATCAACAAGATCATCAAAGACTCAGGAAAAGTTAGCAGTTTCTTAAAATAAAACAATAGTTCATCATCTAAATCAAAAAATATTTGCCAAATGCTACATTATAATCAAACAATTTAAAATACTAATGTTAAAATGATGTTAAATGGCCTTAAGATGATAGTGATATTGTAATAACAATAATGATCATAGTGGTTTCTGCCAAGTGGGAAAAGTTCAGTGGTACAAACAAAGATAAACTTGAGGAGTATATCTCTGTGAACAATCACACGGTAACAGTGTAGAAGCTGTGCAAGAGCTTCATAGTCTCTGAGAATGAAGGAAAAAGATGAGGGAAGAAAAAATGACAAACTTTACCAAGGTGTATGAAGTGGATTGAAGCCTTGAAAAATTGTAATTTGAACTGAGGCATAAAGCTTTCACAACACAAATGTCAATTAAACATTTTTTCAGCAAGAATTAGTTTTTTAAATATAGTGTAATGTATCATATATTTCAAACAATGATAATCATTAAATTGTTCTTATCTATAATTTTTAGTGGTGCCATGGAACTATTGTTTTTCCTTATTTATAATTTTTGTCTTCCATAGCATTTCCTAGAAATAATGCATTGAGGTTTTATTGTGTTTTATTCTTACATTTTTAAAAAGTATAAAGAGTATTTTAAAAGTAAAGAAACAAACATTGTATTGCTAACATTTGAATGCTTGCAATATTAATAACTGTAACAGAACACACTTTTTATCAGTAGCAAAAACTGCAATCAAACCTTATATTTCTCTAAAATTTTTAATTAATAAAGATTGCTAAAAGCATTTTAATAAATTAAACAAAATAATTCATATTTTAACTTTATAATCAATTTTTTTTTAAATTTCTAATAAACTTAAATCTTTATGAATTCTATCATATTTCATAACATTTATGAATAAACAGATAAAATGACAAATCTTACCTGGGACGAAGTATATCTCCACCAAACACTTTGGTTGGATCAACTTTTATTTTTTTATGCGCTTTACTTTTGGTACTGAGTTCAAAGCCACCATCATCATGACAATCTATAGATTCTTTAGTATGAATCAATGTTGTATCTAAATTTCTAGAATGCTCACAACTTTTAGATTTAGAACGCTTTGACTTCATTGGTTTTGCTGTGACACAAATATCTGGTAAACGATGATCCTTAAAAATACATTAAAAAACAAAAACTGTCAAATGCAGAGCTAAGATAAAGAAATTCACTAATTTGATACATAACTAATGAATGGAAAAATAATACAAAAAGTTCTTGACTCATATAGATTTGTAAGTAATTCAAAACATTGCAACCACATATGATTAACAATGCCGTTTACTAAGTCCACTACACATAATACTGTGCTTTCTTGATTCTAAAAAGAAAGTTCATATTCATTATATGTACAGTACAGTACACTGTATGTAATTATTCATTAAATGTATACAGTTCATATTTCAGCATATGCAGAATGTGCCATAAGTTCCCAACCTAAGTGAGAAAAGGTAAGAAAAAAAAAACAAATATAACGGTTACTTTTCAACATAATTGTCTTTGATTTCAATGCATTTATGACAACATTTAAAAAACAATTCAGTCCTTTTATAAAAATATTCTGAAAATTTTTGTTCAAAATGGTACATTACTACTATCTGCAGATCCTCATTTACATAATGTCTTTCTCAGGGAGCTTTTTTTAAATCTGGAAGCAAAAAATAGTCTGATGAGGCAAAATCCAGACTGTAAGATGAATAATTTAAACAGCTGAAAGCAAGTCCCAAATGGCGGCTTGAGCAAGTGCTTTGTCATGCACAGGCACACTCTTCTTGTTAACTTTCCTCATTGTTGAGCTGCAATTTGAAAAAACTGTAGACTTATAAATTCCCACTGTGTCTGTTTTTCCTTAATCTTGAAAACTGAGTTAGATAGATGAAAGAGACCAGATATGAAAACCTTAGTAGGAGGAGGACCTGATTAACTATATATGAACTTCTGGTGCAACCTGGAAGTTGTTATTTCAATTCAAAAATTTTCCCCTGAAAGGTGTTAAATAGATGGCTGGCATGATTATTATTAAAGGAAAAATATGATGTACAGGGGCAAGCCACTACTAATTTGAGGTGGCGAGCACATATTTTAAATTAAATAATAAAAATTGCCAGCATTGTGACAATGTCACAATAAATAATTACTCATTTTTTGTGTATCTTTGCATGCAACATTGGATAGTATTTTACATTTACAGTAGTACTTCTAAGTCTACCATCAGTATACTCCCATAATCCCAAAAAAATGGTGGCCATGATCTTCTTGGTTGAGGGTAACACTTCAGCCTTTTTTGGGAATACCTCCAAGGGTCTTTGCCATTGTATTGACTCCATTTTAGAAAAGGAGTCATTGTGCCAATATACAAAAAAAAAGACTATAGTTTCATCCTCTAACAACAGATTTCAAAAAATGAACTCCACTCACTTCATAAAGTGTACTTTCTATATGCTACTGCTGTTTAACAGCAGAAAGAAGTTTGGAAACCTATCTTTCACTGACTTTGCTCATGCCTAGATACTCATGAAGCATATATGCCAAACACTTGTATCCTACAGATTGGTCATTGCTGTTATTTCTTCCACTTTCAACCAGAAATCCAAAAGATCCACCACACCAATTTTTTCCAAGGTTACCATATCCACTGGGCAACTAGATCTGATGTCATCTTCAAGGGATTCTTGCCCAAATTGGGAACATTTAATCCATTCTTTGATAGTAGTATATGATAATGAAGCTTCCACATACACAACCTAAGCATTGTTTGATTTCCATGGATGCTTGTCTTTCCTTTCTAAGAAATTTGTTGACTGTCCAGCACTAGTTTAAAATTTGCTGCCATGTCATATATAGTAAGTCCATTGTGAATCACCTTTTAGTAATACAACCACTAAATTTGCATCAAGCATTAAATTTATATATACTTGTTTCAATATGACCTTCAGTCATGCCTAGTAAGTTAGGTTGGGACTTATGGCACCTTCTACATAATACTATGCATCAGGTAAATTTCATGCTTTTTCATATGAATGTAAAGTCTTGCTGTTAAAAAATTGAACTTATGGTAATTTTGACTAAATTTTGTACTGGTCTGCAGATTCACTGCAAGTGATAACAGTGATAAATGAATAATTTCAAAAAACAGGGTATTGGGAAACATTGTAAACATGAAAATAAAATACTGTCCAAAAAATGCATTAACTATTTATGGCTGTATAGTACAGTCATGCTAATCCAAACCCCTTGTAATCTGAACAGCTTCTACCATTCTCCTAAATAAAATAATGGACTTATCACCATCACTGGCAGCTCACATGTAAAGTAAACATAAGCCATATGTTTTAACCAACACTGTTCATTCTTTCTGTGACCCTGGATTAACAATTTCTATTTCATGTACAGATGCAGTTAGCTGTGCAAAAAAACTACTGCAATGGGCTGAAAAACAATACAACCTCCCAGAACCTGTGTTGATTCATAATTTACAAAAAAATTTTTCAAGATTTATGCACAGAATAAAACAAAAGAAAATTTCTGATTATTTTGTATATTGTGATTTAAAAAATTTTAAATTTCCATACACCATACATTTTTGTATTGTATCTTTAAATTTCTTTAACTGTTAAAACATTATTAAAAATATTAACAAATTATAAGAAACTAAAAAATTGTCTTCTTATCTTGTCCTTGTCCTGAGATGTTGAGAAGGACAAGATATGAAGAAAATTTTTTAGTTTCTTATAATTTCTTAATACTTTTATTAGAGTGGAACCTCACTTAACAAGCACCTCGCATAATGAGCAAAAAAATTGTAAAAAATTGACTCGCTTAACACGTGACAAAGAGAGGGGAAATCCCGGATTGTGCACATGCTCCATCAGTCTGTGTTTAGCACTCGTTCTGCTAGCATCTTAGTGTTGCTCATAATCACACATTTTTCCAAATTTATGTTCACACATATTATGTATGAACATTGATAATCATAGTCCATTATACAATAAACATACCATCTTGTACTAAATTTAATGACCAATTCCAAATTAAATTTTTAAAATGTCTAAATTAAAAATTAATTATTTATAATTATTAAGTTTAATACGAGATGGCAGTATAACTGCCTACCTCTAGTCAAATTAATTAATTTCTAATATTTAATTAGCCTTTACATAGTCCACTAATTTAGCATATTGTTTAGCATCTTCATCAGACATATTATCTGTAATTTTTTGTTTTTTGCAAATCAAATTTGCATTCCAGGTTGTTCATCCATGCTAGAAGAAATGATGATTATTCATGCTTCTTAATGTATATTGTGTAATTTTCTTTGAATAAACATTGTATATAAAATATTTGAGTATTTTTTTGGCATGGAACACATTATTGTATTTTACATTAATTTCTATAGGAAAAATTGTTTCGCTTAACAAGTGTTTCACATTACAAGTAATATTCTGGAACAAATTATGCTCATTAAGTGAGGTTCCACTGTATTTGTTACTGTCCTGGCCATTACACATATTGTTAAAATATTGTCTCTTTTGATACTATGTATACTAAGAATAACAAACATTTTTTTGTACTGCATGTCATTACATAACCTCTGTTAATCCAAACTACCACTAACCTCAATTGGATTATCATGACCATATAATACTTTCAATATAGGGTCACATTAAAATCAAGAAAACACAGTATATGGTAATAACTAGAAAAACATACATTTTTGTTTTCTCAGTTTTATTTTCATAGGCAGAGCTGTCAACTTTAATTACCCCTTTGAAACAAACAAATACATTACAAATATACCATATATAAGCATCACTTGACTTATATGGTTTTTCAGTCTGCTCAAAAACCCTGAAAATAAATTAACTGTACTGTATAATCAAGAACTTACTGTAATTATAAATATTTTAAAATAAAAAACTATATATAAAACCAAAACTTGCTTAATTAATAATTTCACCATTCAGCTAATACATAAAAATCTGTCTTTAGTATTATTTTGTCAAAAATTATGTATTAAACAATATCTATACATCTGTATAATATTTATAAATGCATAAAACCACTATTCTAGATCAATGATTGCATGATTTTCTTTACTCTACTTGAACAATCATGTAAAAATTTTACATCACACTTTACTAATAAATATTGTGGAACCAATCAACAAGTTGATCTCAATCTTGTTGATTGGTACTGTAATATTTAACTGTTGCTGATCAGAGTTACTCTCAGTTGAAGTCAAAGTACTGAAATCTTATTCGTGCTACTGTCAATGTTACTTTATGGTTTGTTACATTAGTGAGAAATCCCTTCTTTTTCTTTTTAATATTTCACTGCATGTTCACATTTTGATATGAGACCTATTTTAATTTCTTAAGTTTTAAACAACTAATTCAAATTTCTAATGAGATAATTCCATCTGGTGGTCACAAGAAAAACTGACAAACAGAAAACTTATCTACATCATGCTACAAACATAAATGCTATATTTTAAACCTAGGAATATCTTGATATATCAATAGGGTCTCTCATTTCCTGGTCTTTTGCTTGTCCCAGGATTCCGGGAAAAAAGTGAACTGTTTCCTGGGAAATCCCAGGATATAATTAATTATTTTTAAGATATACAAAATATTATTTTTTGTTTTTTAAAGTAATTTAATACACACTGCAACCTCCAAAATCATATTAATAATGCTGTGTAAGATATATATTAAAAGTTACCTTTGAATTACATAGAAATGTTCACAAATAGAAAAAATTTATTAAAGTTTGTTGGAAACTGCTTACAAAAAAAAAATGCCTTTGAATTTAGTTGAAAATTTTAAAGAAAAAATGAACTTAGATCCAACTTCTAACTTAGAAGGTAATTTTTGTTTTTTGAATAAAATATAATACAAAATATTATTATAAATTTTTATAACATTTTGAAAACCAAAGATCGTCAATACTCCAATCACTCAATCTGGTTATTATTTTAATAATGAAAAGTCCCACTACTGAAAATGCCTTTCCAATTCAATGGATGTGGGTGGAATTGTCTTTAAAGCATTTAAGAGAAGACAAATGTTTTTTCACCCACAGCCTGGAAGATTTCTACAGTAGTTTGTTTTTGAGATGCATAGCAGTACTTCTTTTGCTCTCTAGTATTCTTGATTTTTCTACCTTGGCTGTTTTAATAGTGGTATCAAGCTTATAGCCTGATAATTTGGCAGTTACTTTGGCTTTAATAATCAGGTTTATGAAGAAAAACTTCATACTTGCAGACTTCGTACTCTTTTCTATACTTGCCCAATTGCACAACCTGGCACAATGCAGTTATTGAAGCTACTGGGCATAGTTAAAATTAAGACAACATCAGCACAATTATTCACAATATTACAGGTTCTGACAAGTAAAATATTTTCAGGGTCCTGCCACAAATACATATTGATTATTGACAATCTGTGGGATGTCATAACAAGCAAAAATTTAAAAAACTAATAAGCAGGCTTAAAATTAATAAATACAAATGTATTCTGACAGTGAATGAGTTAATTATGCTTTCTATTTGCAAAATTTCCTCAACCTTAACACAAAAAAAGAAAAAACTGAACTTTTAAGAAATATGCAGGATTTTCCGGATTAAAAAAACAACTGGGATCCTGTTTGAGAAACCCTAATATCAAGAAATGTAATATTACATTCACCACAGGTTAAGCACTAATGATCATTAGCAATTGTCACAATCAATCTTCCATTAAGTTAAACTTTAGTATCAAATTACAAATTATTTATATTAAATTACTCATAAGATATTTACCACAAAACTACTAATTTACTATACAAAAATGACCTAGCCATTTCTAATCACATTGTAAAGAAAATCTGTCCTTATTACACAGAAGATAATTTCAAAATTATTTCAGTCAATTAGAAATACTTGAGAAATGTGGAAAATTGGCTTTAAAATAAGTTGACAATTAGAAGGAATTTATAAGAAAAAATCAATCGTGCAACCAAAAAAAGCATTTGGTGGAACTTGTCTAGATAAATGTTCCAATCATGCACAGAATGCAATTTCTAATCTGATTTCATTAAGATAGTATATCATGCAGTAATACTATCTTAATGATACCTGACAAATGGTACCTGTACAAGACAACACAGATGTGGAAGTAAAAGTCACATCATATTGTAAAATGGAAATTGTAACAAAGCTGTGTTGCTGTGGTTTTGTATTGTCTTTTGAATCTGTTTTGTTTAACAGTCTTATTATTTTAATAACAGTGTGTGAAAAGATTGAATTGACACATCATCATAATGTAATCATAATTTAAAGAAAACCAAATTTTTTTTAATAATGTAAGTTTATAGTTTTAATTCTCCTTCTCTTTTGGTTTATAATGTATTGGCAATATTTTATCATTAATAGTGGAACTGTCTATTGGAATTTGATATATGTAAGAAAGAGAAATTTATTGGTCCTGGATAAAAGATAACTCATCAATTAAAAAATTTATATGCTTGGTAATTCTTTAGTTTTTTAGAATACAGTGGGTGATCGGTTAAAAGCATTTCTGGCACCACTTTTTGGTGACTTGTTCTATAGCATTTTTTTGCAGCTGTCTCTACAGCAATTTCACATCATACAGATATTGTCCAATTACAGACCTTCATTTTTGGGAAAAGGTAAAAATCACAAAATGTGAGATTAGATGAATAGGAAGGGTGTGGAAGCAGTGTTGTGCTCACTTCAGTCAGATAATTTTAAACAAGTGTTTAAACCAAAACTCCAGCATAGTGTTTACTTTTTTTTAAAATTATATAGCTGAAATGGACACAACATTGCTTCTATACCTCCCATTCACCTAACCATGCATTTTGTCATTTTATCCTTTCCCAATGAAGACACTGTTAAATAGACAACATTTCCATGACAAAGATGTGGAACAGGACACTAAAAAGGAGTGTGCAGTGTTAAATGGATAGTACTTAGAAGGGAGTTGTGTTTAAAATGTTTTCGTATCAACACATTAAGAAATACAGCACTAGTCTCAGAAATTTTTGAATTTACCACATATACATTATTAATTTAAAAATCTTTACAGGTGTTTAAAGAAAGCTTCTGAAGTAAAGGGAGATAAGTTATGCTTGTGTGCAGAAGGCTACACTGCATTAATTTAAAAATCTTTACTGTATATTTAATAAAATTTAAATAAACATCTAGAAAAAAAATTTGAAATTAATTCTGAACCTGTAAAATGTCATATATTAGACAATATACTTAAAATCATCTCTACCTTATCCAAAGTTTAGAGTTTAGTGAAAGGCATGCACATACAAGCACACAATGTTATCAATGAAAATGGAGTGATAGCAAAGTATCTCAAATGATCTGGTTTGTTTGATGAAGAAATGATAGTTATATTTTAATTTTAAATGACTTTTAATGTGTTTGGTTTGAAGCTAAGGTGATAAATAGCAACAGACAGTAGAGCCTTGTTTCATATGGGATTGATATACACAGATTTGTTCTCACAGATGAGAAAATGATAAAATTAACCTTGGGAGTACAAGAATAATTTTGACTATTAATGTACAGTACATGATGATTTCTTTTATTATAAAGTCATAAAATCAAATATTTCCATATGATAAAAGCTGGTATGCCAATTTAAGTGAGGGTATACATCTCTCTCCAGAGGGCATGTAAAAAAAACAAGAGTTATGCTGCATTTTTTATTCTAAAATTGTGAAACTGTTACAGTATTACATCAAAAACTATGATTATATGTTTAATTTCTGCACTTTGTCTTCTTTTTAATAATGTAAAATACTTGTGGAATGCTGAAAGTGCATTTTTTGTTTATTTTATTGTAATTTGATCCGAAAATGCAAAAAACATGTCAAATTTCAGAAACTCACTGTAAATTATCTCAACTTACATGATTAACATCTGCTTTGTGTAAAATTTGAACGAAATGAGTTATCTTTCAAAAGTAGATTGTCAGTGCAACCCAGATTAACTAACTACTGTCAATGTTGCTAACTGTTTTAATGTTTTCTTTAAAATTTATTAAACTAGTTTTGTTGGATCTGTTAGTTTTATATTTTAGTCACAGTTTAACCAGCATACTGTTCTCCCCCCATTATATGCAGCTTGCTGGTCAAATCTGCAAAAATACAGTATAAATTGTTTGAACTCAAATTGGAAAACATGTCATGACAATTATCTGGAACTATGTGAGATGGAATACAAATTTATGCAGAATTTTGTTTTACGTAATACCTGTTGACACACATCACCTGTGTAAAACAAAACCATATATCTGGACATATAACGAAGAAAATTCAAGTTTTAGTTCAAGCTAATTTCTTCTAGATTTATATTAATTTAAATCATTATCTTTAAAATTATCATAAATTTGATATTAGAAAAATCATGTCAACTCTGACTCCTGAAATATCAATAAAAACTATACAAAAAAATTAAGCTATTTTAATACCTTTTCACTAATATCTGATTCAGGGCTTGAAGTTTCTGTAGTAGTTGATGATGTTTCTTCTTCCACTAAAACTTCATTTTTTCTTTTTAATTTATTTTTATCATTATTTTTATCCTTTATTTTTTGCTTAGATTTACTTTTATTGTCATTATCAGATAACATTTCTGATAGTTCTTTTTGATTTATTATATCAATATCATCAGACTGTTTAAATATACTGTTATCTTTTTGATGTTCTTTATGCGTTTGTGTTCCCACACTTGGCTTACTGTTGTTATTGGTTTTAACAGAACCACTACGAAAAGAAAAATTAGGCTTGAGAAAACTAGTCCAACTTTGTGTTTTTTGTGTTTTCTTGCTTTCATTTTCACCATGAGAATAACAGTCATGTTTATATTTTTGTGCTTTTTTCTTATTTTTGATATTGAAATCATTTAAGTCCAAATCAATATCTTTCAATGATATATTACTCAGACAGTCTTTGCTTTTTGATAAAGAATTATTTTCACTCCCTCTACGCTGATTATGGTTTATGCCTGATGATAAATCCATGTTTGAGATCAATGATGATTCTACAGAATTATGTCTTCTTTTACCTTCCAAATAATTATTCCCATGAATTCTTCCTCTGAAAATGTAATACAATTTTTATATTAATAAAAAAAATTCTCTATAAAAACTAACTAATAATATTTAAATTTTATAATAATCAAAGGAGTCTACTTCTTAAAAAGATACATTTTTTAAATTAAATTTAACATATGCAGAAAACTTTCTCAATCATTCAATATAAAAAAAAAACAACTAAATCACAAAGGTTTTAAATCAAAAAGGTTTTTCATATTAAATTTTAGTAATTATCTGTTATTTTTTAGTTAATAATATATAAATATAATGTCTAAATAATATATTGTATTTATTAATAATATATTGTATTTTAAATTTAATCATCACAGAATTGGTTTCAAATTTCATTAAAAAGCAATTCAGTAAGCTACAGTAATGTCAGCAAGCTTTTTATTCTTTGAAACACAATTCTATAATTATCATTTTGAGTAGACTTTTTCTGTAAACAACTAAAAGACTTAGATTATTTAAAAATAATCTAAAACTTGGATGTTCTTAATTAAACATCATGAAAAACTGTCAAAACCTATTGTTTTTTAATTTATTAAATTTTTTTTTTAAATTACAGTGTAATCCTGATTTACAACTGTACCTCCTTCCTCAAAACCTATTGTAAACAGGCATGAACTTTTTTATTTCTATTCAATTCAACAAGAAGGCAATTATTCTATTTTCAACTAAAAAAAGGTTGAAATTTATAACTCATTCTGGTATAGCTCAATCACCCTATTACCTATGTTCCTTTAAACAACATTAAAATGCTATGAAATATTTATTTGAGCATCAAACCAAGGATTCTAAATAAACAAAATAGAACAACAAAATATGTTTTAGGTTATTCATTATCATAAAAGGAAGTAACACAAAATAAAAGAAATTACTATGGCATAAGCAAATATATTAATTATCAGACATTATTAATGGAAAGAAACAATAGTTAATTGAGATAACAAGTAAATTAGAGTAAAGTAAAATTGCTTTTAAATTAATAAAACTGTAATCAACAATAGAAGAGTCTGTAATGTAGAGATAAAATTTACTAAACTGAAATTGTGTTAAAATGGAGAACTTATGAACCATCTTAGTATGTGGAAATTTTAACCTTGTTGCACTTGTTATTAGAATATTTATTTTAAACATTGATTTCTTCACTACACAAAAATTTCATCTCATAAATAGGAAAGATAGAAAAAATAATTCATTGTATTGAATTCTCATATACAAGGGTCATTCAAGGTTAAACAAGACTTTTGAGCCTATAATTTTGAAGAGTAACTGTAGCACGATAAAACTCGGAGAGAGAGTAGCATTATCCATCCCAAGATTTCGGTAGCAAAACATATTTTGTGCATGTGTAGCAGTTTTAGCAATCATGGCAGAAATGTATCTGCAATAGTGGAACAGCAGTGCATAATCAATAGTGTGTATACAACCAACAGATCATAAATAGAACCAACAAAAAATGAATAGGTGTGTGTACACACACATACACAAAAGCAATTGAATACTATATTAAAACAAAAAAAAACTATCAAAATTTAAATCATAAAATTAATTAAGAAATCACAAAAAATATTTTTGAACTTCAATATTCAACATAATCTTATATTATAATTACTACTACTTAATATTTTATTTCAAATAGTCACACTTACTCACAAACAGAAAATGATACTCACATTAATTGATGATCGTTGTAGGAATTAATAATGCTTTTTAAGTCAAATAAATAGCCTTTTTCCTGTTTTAATTCACTTCCTGTAGTTATAGTAGTAGTAATCATTGAAGAAAAAGCAGATTTTAAAATTCGATCGTTTTCCAAATAAGCAGCAATAAAAACAAATATTGACATAAAAATAGTAAAAATAACAATGCTATAGTATATAATGGGTTCCCAATAGGGACGAGGCAATGCCTGCATACATGGAGCTAACATGTGACGAGGAAGAGTTGCAACAAGTGTAAATTGAATTAAATGATCAGCTCCTAAACTCGTATGAATTTGTAACATTCTTTCTACTCTAAAAAGAGTAAAATCAGGTGTAAACCTAAAAGAATAACAAAATATTAGTAATTATTACATAAAATAAAAACATAAAACAAAAGTTAGAGTAAAAAGAAAAGATCATTATTATATAAAAATACCCAATATTTCTATTTTGATCTTTATAATTATCATTCAAAATTATTTGTAAATATTGTAATTTATCCTTAATGATTACAGATCTATTTATCTTAGAAAAAACCCTAAATTTTTTTGAAATTTATCATTTACAATTCATTATAATCCTAAACTAAATACTTTAAACCAGTTAAATTACAAATGGATATTTCTAATCAAATAATAAACTCCAAATACTTTTAAAATGCAGTCTATTTTAACACTTCTCGAACGTTTTCGGTCAGATTAACAGACCTTCTTCAGGATCGAACTAATAGAATTTAAGAAGGTCTGTTAATCTGACTGAAAACGTTCGAGAAGTGTTAAAGGTATTTGGAGTTTATTATCTGATTATAGTAATGCAGGTAGAGATATAAGAATTAGTGTTGTAACGAATAGTATATTCGGCCTCAGGCCGAATGCCGAATAGCCGAATATTCGGCCAAACTATTCGGCTCGATTAACACAACACGTACGAAAATTGGCGCGCAAACCGCATTATGGCAAGGATCCTGCTCTCTATTGGCCCGCTGTCACTACGCTTCCGGTTATGCCTATGCGGTACCGGAAATGTACGTTTTATATGTACCTAAATAAAAGATTGTGTGTGTGTGTGTGTGTGTGTGTGTGTGTGTCACTACGCTTCGCCAATCGCGTTAATTCTTGGAAGTTGTAGCCGACAGACAAGAGTGTCATGGAAGTATGTGATAAATGATGATATCAAATGACCTACACTTGTAAATAACGGAAAAAAAAACAGAGAAGGACCGCAAAGTGAAAATGTGAAAATAAATATGAAATTGAGTCGATAACATAATCGAACGAGTCGAGGCAGCTTATTGGCACGAAATTCGCGCCCGTCAATGTCAAACAATTGTCGTCATAGACTTCGGAAAGCTAAATGTTTGTAATGAAAGTCACTTAGTGCACACGGGCGAAAGCCCAGGGCCGTTCGGGCTATCGAGCTGTCTCGAATCTGTGAAATCATAACTGTGACTTATATCGACGTCCTATCTGTCTCTTTTCTCCGTTATCACCAGGCTATGAGTCACGTAATTGTAAAATGGGAACTCTACCACTGAAAAGTGACCAATCGAAAGTATCGTGAGGGCGTATTATGATGTATGAACAGGCATATGTGGATTAGAGCGATAGAGGAAAGAGAAAGGGAAGAGCAAATACGAGCGTTTAAAAAGAAGGATAGGTATGATCAGACCCTCAGATGTGCGAGGATTCTCCAACGATAGACGTGTACGTGTGCCGATTTTTGTAATTATAAATTGTGAATACATGTGACTAATATTATTTTCTTTTTTATTTTGTGCGTGTTACAAGTTATAAATAAATATAAACAAACAACACTAACTCGATAACATTAAATCTAAATACCAAAATGATTACTGTAATTTACTGTGTTTTTGTTATTTATTACTCCCGTTTTAAGGTATTCGGTATTCGGCCGAATAGTGATTAAATATTCGGTATCCGGCCGAATAGTGAAAAATAGGCCGAATATGCCGAATAGTAACCGAATATTCGTTACATCACTAATAAGAATATTTCTAATATATTAATGATATATGTATCATTAATATACTATAACATAAAATGAAATTAAAATATAATTATAAATATTTATTATATTTTAAATAATATAGTGGAATCTGGTTAATTTGAAGTTATTTTCTTTCTCCAATCATCTAGCAAAGGTTAAATCAAACTGGTTAACTCAAAATTCATTCAAGTTAAACATTCAAGTTGAACAGTTTGATAAACTGTTTAACTTGAATGGGATTTTGACAAAGTATTTGACAAAGTATCTTCAAAATTTTAATTTTGTTAAGTAAAATTATTAATGTTCATCTATTGAATAAACTAATCAGAAACTTTCTATAAAATGAGAAAACCACATATGACTAAAAATAAACATTGTACACCATGTAGTATCTACAGTATTACAGTATCTAATCTAGGTCATTCTTGCTGCCTGGAAGCCAGAATGACCTGGATACTGTATCCACCATATTTTTGCAGAATGACCAGCATATTGGGGAGACCATGAAATCAGATATTTCAGTATGGTAAAAACCAGCATGTCGGTTTATCCCGAAGAATGCCAGAATGATAATTTAAGTCAGATTACACATTCCTCTCCAGCCAGCACATTAAAAAAAAAAAAAAAAACAAACAAACATCAATATGTCAAGTAAAAACAAATGAGTTTTTAGTCTAAAACTGAAAACCTGTCAGCATTACATGTTTAATTTCTTCATTTTGTCTTCTTTCTAACAAAGTAAAATACTTGTAGAAGTGAAATTCCAAAAATGTTTTTTTTTTTATGTATTTTATTGCTGTTTGATTCAAAAACACAAAAACAAACATATTAAATTTAAGAAACTCTCTGTAAATTATCTCAGCTTACACCATTAACATTGGCTTTGTGTGAAATTTGTTATTTTTAAGGTTATAGTGGATGGCCAGTATAACCCATACTGACTGACTGACCAACAACAACTGCTACTGTCAATAAGTCATTACTTGTTTTATTGTCTTATAATCAGGAAGAGTTATTGTAAACAAACTCTTCCTGATTGTAAATCAGTCAAATTACAATGTTATTATTTTATTGTATTCAAAAGAATGTTTTCTGTAACATTTAATTAACAACTAGTTTTGTTAGATCTGATTAATTTTATATTTTAGTTTCGGTTTAACTGGCTTGCCAATAACCCCAAGGTTTCCAGCATGCTGATCTTCTCGTTTTTATTTGACATGCTGGTCATTCTGCAAAAATACAGTACCATTCAAACCTTTTTTTTTATTTAATTGCTTATGGATTTCTCTGACTAGCTGATGTAATAAGTAAATGGATTTTTGACAAATTAATTTAAGAAAAGATTATAGTCCAATTCAATGTAAAAATTTTAACTTTTCCATCAAAATTATAAAAATAGTAAAGATCGGTATATTTGTGATAAAAATATTTAAAAACATTAGGATTTTAAGTGTGAAATATCACAACTTAAAAAAATCTTTACTTAATACTTAGGAGTGAATGGAACAATCATTCAAAAAAGCATATCTCAAATAGTTTATTTATCCATACACATAAGGTTAAGTGTTCGAGTTTCTGAAAAACAGAGGTTTACTTTGACATGATGATTCTATATAAAATCCACAGAAATATCATATGGATAGTTTATTGTGAATCATCAATAAAACAAATCTTGATTTTTAACCAAACCTCTAACTCAAAACTTTTTAACTCTGAATTTTTCCCCTCAACCAATTTGAGCTAACCAGATTCCACTGTATTACAAATGTTATTTCTCAAAATAATTTCATATTACTATAATAAATTTACTTCAACTATTAATATAACAATAAAAGAGAAATTTAATAGGCAGTTTTTTGAAACTAGAAAAATTTTTAAACAGATTTTCTGTCTTAGCAAGTTGAAACTTGAAAATAGTCACTGCTTCAAAATGTGAATGTATTTTTACCAAGTTCAAATCTAGAAATTATATTTGATATACAGTAGAACCTTGTTTTAACAGATCACTCAGGCCACTGAAAATCATCCACTGTTCTGAGAATCTGTTATATCACGAACAACAGATTTACCGCAAATCCAGGAAAATACCTGTTATTCAAAACAGTTTACATTTTTTAACTCCCTCCATATAAGAAATACCTGTACTTGAAATTATTCAGTCTCTTGAGACCTCTATCCTTTACTTTGCAGAAACACATGTTACTGCAGATATGTTACATATAAAATTGTACATTATGCCATATGTGTGTATGACAAAGCTGATGGAAACTGTATACCACAAAAAGAGGCAGAGTACAATAAAAATGTTCATTACACAGGTCTGCAAAAAAAAAATTTTTTCTAGCTGCATGGAATATTTTTGCTGAATTATATGTTTTAAAGATCACAGATTCTAAAATTAATTTTCATTACATCCCATCACGTAAAGGTTTTTTGCAAAATAAAAACAAATTTTTGATAAAAACTCTTATTTATTACCATGAACTGAATATATTATATTTTCTTACAACTAATCAACAAATTGTTTCTGATATTTATACATAATTTTAGGTCTATTCTTTTTTCTTATGAAACCTTTTCTTCTTCTTTTTGATACTTCTCCAAACTCGTTTCTGATTTCCTTCTCTGGTTTCTCGATTGAGCATCCAACAGTAGTCAGCTAACATATTGACATCCCATTTTCTTTGGTAATGTTTCTCGCTATCACAAACATCCTGTTGAAATCTTTCACCCTATTCTTCATTATAGGTTCCCAAGTTTTCAGGAAAATAGTCAATATGGGAGTGTAAGAAATGAACTTTTAAGCTCATCTTGCATCCTTGAGCTTCATATGCTGCTGCCAGCATATGTTGTACAATGATTTTGTAGTCAGGGTCTTTAGTATTCCCCAAAAACTTATGCACTACATTCTTGAAAGAGTCCCATGCTTCTTTTTCCTTTTCTCCTATTGTTTCCAAAAATCTGCTTTGTCTTGATCTCCAAGTTTCAATTTGAAATATGCAAATTAAACTTTCTTCACAAACTCACTTATGTTTCTTTGTTGACTTTTCACTATGTATTCACCACAAACATAACAGAAGCTGTTGGGAGAAATTACATAACCTCTGCGAGCCATATTCCAGAAATAAAAATACAAGCACAGTAGTGTTCAAATACTGGATATAAACTGAGTGTGGCATTAGATGGCCAGCAAGATACTGAACTTATTTAGCTTGTTGAAACCTGATCTAATCCAACAGCAGTTTGTTTATATTTATTCCTAGTATCCCAGATAACATGTTGAAACATGCTCAACCTCACCAATAATACTACTCACTATCAACTTTTAACCTGTTTCTATACGATCATGAAATCTTCCTCCTAATGCTAAAACTACTTAACCCGATGTGAATGAGGTGAGAAATTGTTACACCAGCGATGAGGTGGGTAGGAGATACCCGAAACTTTGATGCCAAATTTTTTATACTATAATTGTGTATAAAGTATTTTTTCACTTGGGATAATAAGAATAGTATCTATTCAACAAGATGAGTAAATAAAATATTATGTTTAAGATTGAAAAGCATTTTTTTTTAATTGAAATAACAAAGTGTCTATATTTTCTTTGAAAAAGTACAAGTTTTGGTAGTTTAACATTTTTTCGTATAAAATTCTAACAAAATTACAACTTCTTTGGTTAATCAACATAACTATAGTATCTTTCAATTATAAAAATAGAAAAAAAAACTAAAAGGTCTTATGAGATCAATTTGCACAGCACCAACATTACACCTACAAATCAGCACAATCTCCACACAAAAAATCGCATGCTTCATACATTTTGGCTTCTCACACTTCGAACAGCAATGTTTTGTTTTTCTATCTGTTTTTTAATACACTCTCCACACCTGACATATTTATTAGCCATTTTTTTTGGAAACAGGTAATGAAGGTTCTCCCAGTTGATCAGTAATCACTTTTCGAGTTTCCCTTGGAAGATGTGTTTTTTGTCTAATGCGAAGACAATCATTTGAGAAATCTAGAAATAAATCTAAAAATACTATAAATAACTATAACTCATAAACTTACTGTCAACTCAAAAATATAACACCAACTATGAGGTCGGGTGTGACGTACCCCAGCCACATTTGCTCATGTATATCTCCTGTTGACACCAGCGGAACACTAAACTCAACACTGTACCTCCCCCCCCTTACCTCCAGCTACTGTGACAATGGGATTTGCATGGCAACAATACACATTAAATAATTTGCATTTAAAATCTTCTCGGGTATGACATACCCGACATCACTCATGTTGGGTTAACCCACCTCCCCCTACCACTACTCTCTTCAACCATTAACATTTTTGTTTATTTATTACCAAGTCCAGCTATAATTGATAGAATTAATGTGAGAACTCTTTGTTTTAAGGCTATTAAAAAAAAAAAAAAATAGTAAATTTTAAGTTAAATAGGAATTTTACACTAAATACAAACAAAAACTAGAGTGTAACAAAAAAATTGACGAGATGGAATTTTTTTTGTTTTTACCAAGTTGAAATCTGTAAGAAAATGTATAAAAATCCTATGCAGTTTTTTACTTGCAGACCTGTGTTATCAGTTCACTTGATTTCACAACTTGTTAAAATCTCATCCATCTTGGTTTGTTTTGATCCTGCTTTTCTGCCCATTGAGTACAACAATCAGAAGTACCTTCCTGCCTTTAATCAATGTGCTACAGGAAGATACATGCACAGCTGCAAAGTTAGCAATGTGAACTATGACAATTATGCATATATTTTTCTCAATTTACTATTCAGAAACACCCAAATATTAGTTAAATGTTGAAAAAACTCAATGCTTACAGTAGTTGGGAATAGAAATTATCCATTATTCCAAGTTATGGACCTGCTAAAAGCAGGTAAAATTATATTCATTTGGTGAGAACTGGGGAAAAAAGACATTATTCTGAAAATCTGTTGTTCCACAATCTGTTTAAACAAGATTCTACTGTATTAACTAAAATGGTCTCAAAAGAAAAGGAAAAGGGGACAGAAAATAAAATAAAGATTCATAAATATATTCTCAATCAAAAAAGTGAATGTCAAGCGTGTATTTTAAATGAAATTTCTATTTTTCTCACAGAAATGTCAACTTTTAGATACCATCTTGGATAATTTACTCGTTTGAATTTGAGCTTCAAAAGAGCTCAAATTTGATACTCTTAAGCTCTTTCTGTATTTGTTTTAGTCATAATTTATGGTGAAGCATTCAACATTTTTGTTGACAATATTTTATTTACATGTCAACAAAACTTACATGTCTGTTTATATGTCTATTTTGGTTTTACAGCAAAAATATTACTTGCAGTAAAATGAAAACAAACATAAATTGAGTATAACAAGTTCCTTCTTTTTACACACTAAAGAATTTTTTGTGGTCAGTAAAATAAGAGCTGGTTTATACTTTAGAAAAATGATAAAGGAAAGTCAAAATGACACAAAATAAGTTTAGCATGTAACGCTTCACACATTCTAGTAACATATTTCTGTTCTCTTTCTGTTAGAGAGAAAAGTCAACAGAGGTTCTACTTTGATCTATGCAAATAGCACACAATCCTTTGCATCTTTCAACATAGAAATTGTAACACTGAAATGATTAGAACTACAGCAGAATTAACTTCAATGAATCAAAGTTTATCATTATACATTTTATGTTAATCAAATCCACATAGATAGTACCGTGACATCTATAGCTATTTAAAATTTACCTAAAATATAAAAAATTCACTTTGAAATCATTTTCCTTAATTTCTTTCATAAAGTTATAATATTATCTGCTTTCTTTTCCTCTCAAATTAGTTAATTGCATATTTTCTCATTTTTAAAGGCACTGACAACGCAGGTACACTTTCAAAGCTTTATTTGAAACTGCAGGTACTGAGAGTGCAAGCACATTTCTCTTTGTTCTTATGCTTATGGGAAGAGAATAACAGAAAAGACAACAGACAATTCTCTTTTCTGTTCTCATGAAGTATAATCCAGCCTCAAGCCTGTCACAATGATATTTACTCTGGTTACAAGGTCCTATCTCAATTTAAAAAATAATACAAATAATACATGCTTTTCTGATGATAGGTGTAAGAACTAAAAAATGCTTAAATCTAGATTTGCATGCAAATATTTTAGATTACTTATTAAAGTTTACCAATTTTTAACATATTTACTTTTATAAACTTTAAATTTTAAGAGCATTGTATACATGTATACATAACTATATATTTATATAATTAACACGCATACACAAACTAAAAAAATTTATTTAAATGATACTTACGCAATATCTATTTTTTTACTTGCATTAGGTTTTAATTCAAACCCATGGCAATTTAATATTCTAAACCCATAACCTTCACAAGGTATTCCGTTTATGTCAAATCCACTAATATAAATTGGCAATTCTCCAGTATTCCGAGCTGTAAAAGCTCTTCGTACAGTGAAATTTGGTTGCATAAATCTATTATTCTTATTTCCTGTAAAAATAAAATTTTTTTAAAATATTTAAAATAAAAATTATACAATAATAAATTTAGAGGACAATTTCAGACAATAAAAAATTTATTTATTTTTTCAAAAACGTAATTGAAAGGAAAAATACTTAATGAGGCAAGATTTTCAAGTTTTAATAATCAACAAGTAATTGATATTCATAATATTCAAAATTATATAATATAAATCAAAAATGTTCATTATTAATCAATAATAATTGCAGTATTCTAATTCATAGCCTTATGGTTTTTTTAGTGTTCTCTGAGCAAAAAAAGTCTAAAACCTCAAAAAAAGTATTCTAATTTAAATTAAATTATTCAAACTGATTTTAACAATTTAAAAATCACTTATAAAATAATTAAATACATAATATTACATAAAACTTACCATCACAATCTTTAAGATGCTTGTCTGTTAATTCAAACATTAAAGATGAATTTGCCCCAGGTGATTTGTTGCCAAATTTTATCTGTCCATAACCTCCTTGACCTTGAACTACCAATGCATCCATTACAGTCAAATTATTTCTACAAAAATTTATATACATAATTATTAAAACAAAAAATGCATTCTCTAATAAAATGCAACAAACATTTTAAAAATAAATTTATTCTAATTTCACTTTTTAATAATTTTAGAATACATTCAATATTTTTATATTATAATCAAACTTTTAAATAAATAATTGTGACAAAATTTATAAAAATATAACTTATGTTTTTCATAACTGAAATTGTTAAATACCTTATTAAAATTAATGATGATTTAAGAATATCATCCTTTGGAGCAAACCCAATATGTACTCTAATTCTCATGCCAGGAGTCAATAACATTGCAATTGTATGCCTATGTGATTGTACACCAAAATATTCTTCTAATGTTTTTCTGTAAGTAGGAACTGGATTTTCTGGCTTAGGCTACAACAGAAAACAAAACAATTTACAAAATATAATTATTATAATAAATCATTCACGTTAATCATACTTTTATATCAGTTTAAATACTTACATTATATTCCTCTAAATCATGTAATATAAATGCACTGTGATCATTATTATCTGCTTCTTTTAAAATGTTACCATCTTTTCCCAATCTCTGTGATAACATCTCAATAGCTGTTTTTGCACTAGGATATAATGCTAATGGTACTATTTGTATTAATACTGGAAGACTAGAAGGATTTTCTAATGTAAAGTCTCTTATCTAAATTAATACAAAGAAAAAAATTTATATATAGGTGTATACACACTATTAATGTATATTAATGTATATTATACTTTTGCTCAAAAGTTAACAATGAAACATAAATATAAACATAAAAAGCATTTCATAAATTGTGATAAAAATGGAACTGAGTAGAATGTTTTCTAAGTTTAGTAAAACTGTTACAATCCAGGAAAAATGAAGATTGATTCCAAATCATTGAAGGTACACAATTACAAATGCTTACAAAACCAGCACACAAGTGTCAAAATAAAGAAATAAAATATATGATGTTCTCTTGTTGAAGACAAGCAATACAAACTAAATTCAAAATGAAACTGGCAATAACTTCTTGGGATATCATTATGCACTTCTATTGAAAAGCTCATTCCAGTCAAAATAAATTTTGAAAAAATATTGCAACTGGCAACACACCTTTCCTAGTATTATAGGACCTGTTTAATTGAACCTAATTCTGCAAAATCTTCTGACTCTTCCATGAGAGCTAAATTCTTTATTTTCAAAAGTTTTTCTATCAGTTGAGTTGTATGTGACATGCAATATTATTTATTAAGGAAAAAAATCAGTGTCATCTATTCCGAAAATCTAAGTACAGAATTTCATTCCAATAACATACATCAATGACAAATTATTACATAGTTTATAAGTTCTTATAAAAGTATTAAAATTACGTAATCACTACATGTACAATACATATCAATAATAATCTTTAAGTTCCATTCTGACAATTATAATTTTCTTATTATAAATTATTCATAGTTCCAATATGAATTAATCCCAGAATTTAAACATCCTGATTTAAAATTAATACAAACATTATTATTTAAATAATGTTAAATAACAAATAATTTTTTAAATCTGAAAAAAATATTTATTTTGTGAAATATTATAAATATTCAATTTATATCTCATAAAAATTATCAAAATATATTTTTCATGCTTTTGTCTTTAGCAAGTGATATTATAACTTATTAGTAAAATAATTTTTATATTTTAAATTTGATAACTCTAATGTTAACAATATATTTACATTGAAATCATGTAAATTAAATTTTACACGATAAAAATGATTTGTTAATGCTTTATAAAATATCTCTTACTTGGTTGAAAAATAAAGATTTCCAAAGAGAAAAAATGACTACAAATCATAATCTAGAAATATAAAAGGTGCAAGCTGCTAGAAGATAGAAAAGGCAAATGTACCAGAGAAATCTTTAAAAGCAGAAACAAATATTATTAGAAAATATCAAACATATCTATTACAAACTAAAAGGTTATAGGAAAACTTGATAATGATTTATTACAAGCAAAAATGATTATTAAAATTTGAAATGATTAAAATGAAAAAAATCAAAGTATTCTGGTGATGAAGTCAATAGCCAGCTTGATATCCAATAAATCATTTCTTCTTATAGATAAATACTTTAAACTGTTATTTATTTATTTATTTTTAAATTTGATTTATGTGTTCATAAAATAGAGCACTATATTATTGTCATTGTCATAAATTTAAAATTTAAGGTAAAATATTGCAAACTAAACATATATGCCTGAAAAGTAAGAAAAACTATTAACTGAAGTTATAAAAAAAAAAGTGACGTTTAACATAAAACTTCTTGGAATTAAAAAAGTATATGTATTCTGAGCCATAATTAGGTTAAGAACTAGAATAAAATGTTTCTAGCATAAGAACTAAAATTTTTTCTCTTGGAAATAATAAAAATATATTTATTACCTTAATTCTAAATGTCTGGTAAAATAATTCAGAAGTGAATCTTTGCAACTATTTGCTTTATTAATTCAAATTATGCTGTAAACAACTATCAGAAAAAACTGAGACATAAAAAGAAAGTCCACCAATAATGTATCATCACTTAGGAAAAGACAGAAAATAAAAATTTTTTGAATTTGTTCTATTTTGCAAATTTGTAGTTCCATCCTACATTTTCCATTCCTTTTAACTCACCTGAGGGTGTTCATTTTGAATGGATGAAAATGTTAGTAAATTCATTGAAACTTTTAACTGGCATTGGCATCTGATTTTTATTGAGAAAAATATTTCACAAAACAATGCTGAAACTATTTTACATTACTGAAAGTTAATATGGTAAATCTAATCACAATTTAATATTAAAAGATAATTATTTTTATAATTAATACTTATATAATAATATATTGAGCCTCTAAATCATGTAATATAAATGCACTGTGATCATTNATTTCCAATTTGGGTAATTGGAAATCTTAAATGACATCTATTACAAAGACGTGGCCATTGTAAAGATACACGAGCTTTCAGAAGAAATCCTCTGACTTCACTAGTATCAAGTTGAAATGTCAAATTCATACTAAAAATTATATATATAAATAATATAAATTTCATAAAATAAAATTTTCTTCTTTCTTCATAATAAAAATAAAAATAATAATAATGAATATTTTGATACCTTTTCTCCCCATTATCTAAAATTGCTTGCCATCTCTGACGTAAATTTTTATATAATTCAAGATCCATATCACCAACATCTGATGGTAATCCCATTCCCAAAAGCCACTGATGACCCACTAAAAACATCAAATATCATTTTATGATAATATTTTTAATAAATAAATGAAATATCCATCATAAATTAATAGATAGCAACAAGAGACAAATGAAAATTATTTTGCAAATATAATGAGATATTTTGTGGTTCCTAGACTGGTATGAAAAGGATAAATATAGACAGAAAGACTGAAACTTAGTTTCTATAGTCATAATTTTCAATTTTTTGAAATAAGTCAAAATAATCCTGGGCTTATATATACGATAATGAGATATTAATTTATAGATAAGTAAACCAATTTCACATTATATTCACAAAAATCAATAAAATTTATTGATACATTTATTCTGTACATTTTACACATTTTGTTTAACATATGAAATGAATTTGATTCATTATTTAAGTCCTATTTAAAATTATGCTTTAAATTACATCTAAAACATTATTAAAAAATACTTGAATTCATTTTTATGTTAATTTCATTTCACATTTATCTTTTGTATTTTACAATTTTCCTGTTATACTTTTATCAAAATATTTTAAATCTTCTCAAATATGATTGATGCATCAATCATATTTGCAGAGGATTCAAAACTTGCATCTTAATGAAAAATAATTATAACTAGAAACTAAATATGTAAAAGTTAGAACTAAAGTCACAATAAATTAAAAATTAGTTAATTTGGTAAATGAAAGCAATATAGCAAAACAGTACTTAAAAGTAATCAAAATATTAATGTGTCGATATAAACACATAGCCTTAGCCTTATTTTAGTTACATAGATTTTTGTCACAAATGTTTTAATGTGTTTGACAGACGTGTCTACAAGAAAGTAATTGGACACCCCTGCAAACAGCAACATGTGCTGTCCTAATACACATCATGACTGCTACAGATAAATATCAGGTGGGAAAGAAAATCGGCATCAGTTGCATGCAAGATGCCATGCAGTTCAGAGCTGTCTGATTTCAAAAAAGGTGTAACCATTGGTTATCACAGCAATGCCTGTTCCATATGTGACATATCCAGCGAGCTGAAGTACCCAAAATCAACAATGGGCTACATGATTCACAAGTGGAAGGTGAGTGGTAACAGTCAGTATAAGCCCTGACCAGGCAGGGTCACAAAACTAGGAGATAGAGACTGATGGGTGCTCTCCAGAGAAATTTGGAAGAACTGCACCCAACCAATGGCCCACATCCATAGGGAGTTTCAAATGGCAGCTGGGACTGTTGTTTCAATGAATACCATCCGTAAGGAAGCTCATCTGCTTGGTTATCATGTGCTGCTGCCCACAAGTCTTTCATCACCAGGACCAACAGTGATGCTTGGCTAGCTTGGTGCAAAGAATATAGACAGTGGACTGTAGAACAGTGCAAACAAGTTCTCTGGAGTGACGAATCCAGGTTCACCTTCTTCCGTTTGGATGGCAGAGTCTAAGTTTGGCATCTGCCTAAAGAATGCCTCCTGCCATAATGCATTGTGCCAACAGCAAAGTTTGGAGAGGTGGAGTTATGTTATGAGGATGTTTCGCCTGGTATGGCCTGGGACCCTTTGTCGCAATCAATGGTAGGCTCAACGCCAATGCCTAATGCACTATTTTGGATAACCACATGCTGGCAGTTTTACAGGTTAGACCCATGTTACTTCCAGGACAATAATGTTAGCTGTCATGTCGCAACAACCACCATTGCTTGGCATAGTGACAATGGGGTTAAATGAATAAATTGGCCTGCTCAGAGCCCAGACCTGAACTCTATCAAGCACCTCTGGGACAAGTTGGAGCGTCAACTGAAGGGGTGCCCCCACTGCCAAAATTGGTGAAGGAACTCATATGCCTCCTCCAAACCGAGTAGAAGAAAATACCGCCAGTCATCATACAAGGACTAGTGGAGAGTATGCCCCGAAGGGTCACAGCTTTAATCTTTGCCCGTGGAGGTTCCACCAACTATTGACAATGAATAAACTTTGTTTTTCTGTTCTATCACAGGTGTCCAATCACTTTCTGACAGATAGTGTATAATCTGACTTAGAGGTCTGGAAGAAAAAATGTCTTTCCGACTAACAGATATCCAGACAGTATAACTGATAATGCATTTACACAATAATAAAAAATTCAGTCTCTCTGCAGTAATGCTGAACACTAAAAATTTTTGTACTTGAGATAATTGTGGTAATGCATCAGGCATTAATATATAATAAAATGCTTCAGGTATTCAGAAATCAGAAAAGTGCATGCAAAATCAAGTAATATATAACAAAATATATTACTTGATTTTGCATGCACTTTTCTGATTTCTCAAAAACTTTTATTAATTTAGGTTTTCATTTTGCAATTTAAAGAAAGATGGACTATTATTGATATGAATATTAACAGCAATTAATCATTATAACATTTAAAAATTAATAGTGGCATAGCTACATATTCAGCTCGTTGGAGCAACTAGTTGGTGCACCCCTTGTTCATTGGAAGAGATCTTGAAAAATTTATTTTGAACATTTAATTTAAAAACACATATCTAATTATTTCAATTTAAAACCTTACTTAATAACAGTTCCTACCCATGCTCAAGTCTGACTCGAGCAAGGTTTATAGCATTAAAAAAACCGGGCTTTTCAGCCCCCGAAAAATTTTTTTTTGATTTTTGGAATGTTTTTTAGGTTGCCCGCGCGAAAAAATTTTATCGCGATTTTAATCAACCTTTAATGATGTGCGCTTCACACTTTATTGCTTTTTAATGTTTTTTTAATGGGAGTTTTTTATCAAAATTAATTAATCGTTCTAAAGTTGTAGTGCACCGATTTTCCTTCAGTAAAGTTATTTAAAGCTGCTTTCTGATGTCAAAAACGACCTCTGATAGTTTAATTTTTTTAATTAATAGATTTTATTATATATATGTTTAATTAATTAGGGAGGTTGGAAATCGCAATAAAAATTATAATTTTTTAAAAATATNATTCGAGAAAAGTCGGAAGAATTTTTCAGTGACAGAATGAAAAAACTTGTTACATGTTGGGAGAAATGTGTTAGCCTTAATGGTGACTATGTTGAAAAATAAATATATGATTTTGAAGCTTAAGAATTGTACTTTATTGTACTTTTTGCCCTATCTTGCTATTTGTTTTTGTTTGTGTTCTACAAGCATGTGTGCATTACTTTTCAGCCTACCCATGTATATTTTGTTTTTATAAATGCAGAATACCTAATAATATTTACTACATATTATATAAACTGTATTGACAAAATGTATGCAAGTTTGGTTTCATAACAAATACATGATAATACATAGAAAAAAAAAACTTCAAAATTGTTTTCTTCTCACTTTTTTGTTTGCAAATTGGTCAAACACTTTCTCCAGGTCAAGTTGACAAGCTATTGTTTTCTCAATTGATATAGTAGTCAGAGCTAAAATGATGTTGTGACATGCTACTTCTTAAATAAGTTTTGATTAATTTTAGTTTCGAAAAACTTTGTTCTGCTGTCACTGTCATCACCGATAAAGTTAAAAAAAAATGAGGCATGCTGTAGAGAATAATGTCAGAGAAGCTACTTGAGGTTGTGGTGTGAATTATAAATAGTTCAGCAACATTGCATATAGAAGTAATGTCTTTTATCTGACAAGGAGAGCCTACGGCTTTGGGGTAACGGATTTTGACAATCTTTGGTGTAGAAGTAGTACACCATGTGAGTGTACTACCTGTAAAATACTAAAGTGCAATACTCAAATATAATCAAGAAAATCGAGCTTAAAGTTTTTTAGCACTTTATGTATAAATTATACGTACTTCTATTTGAGCGTCCTGTGGCAGAGTGGTAACGAGTCCGATTCATAAGCTTGAGTTCTCGGGTTCGATTCTCGCGTATAATTTTTTTTATTAATTCATAAATACTTATAATGTATTTATTTATTTACTCATTCATTTCTTATTATTTATTTATTTTAATTTAATTTCTACTATTCCAAGTCTAATATTTTTATACTTTTGTTGACAATAACGGCGCATTCTTGACACCTATGTGTCAACTTTCCCATCTAATTGTTATCACTAACGGTGACCGATCTAATTCTCACTAGGAGCGTTTTTCTATCAGAGTTCTTTTTCACTCACTCTTTAACAGTTCGTTTCTAAATTTCGACACGAATAGACGTATTTGTGTAGTAAAACTTATTTTGAAAAATTATTTTATAATTAAAAAATGTCGTCAAGAGAAGCAAGTTCTTCATGTTGTGACGAAAAAACTGTTGATGATAACTCTTTATACAGTGATGTATCAAAGCAGCATAGTGAAGTAAAATACTAAAGTGCAAAACTCAAATATAACCAAGAAAAACGAATATAATTTATTGAAGCAATATTATATAATTACATAGCATTGTCAGATGTACATGATCGTGAATGATACTTATGATAAAAACATTCAAAACAAAAATTCTGTCTACACCAAGAACAACAAATAAATGCTGCTTTTTTACAATTGCAAGGTATGTTTAAACGAGAACTTGTTTAACTCCTTAAGGACATAGACATTTTTGATATTAATTTATTTAAACGTAAAAAATACTTAAAAACTGAAAAAAACGAAAGAAATGCGTTAATTTTGAAGAAAAATCTTCAAATTTTATTTTCCTTTGTCTCGCCTTTCTGTGAAATTTAACACCGATGAGTCATTGTTTACACATCTGGATGACCTTGAACACAGCTGGAGTTGGATTTCCCGGGACATTCTCATAGACGTCTCGGGATGACAAGGGTTTAAAGTAGGGTGACTACTAGCTAGGCCTATATTTTTAAATATTTTTAAAAAATTGAAATTTTAATTGCGATTTCCGACCCCATCTAATTAATTAAATTTATATATAATAAAATATATTAATTAAAAAAATTAAAAAACTATCGGAGGTCGTTTTTGACATCAGAAACTAGCTTTAAATAACTTTAAGGAAGGAAAATCCGTGCGCTAGAACTTTAGAACGATGAATTAATTTGATAAAAAATCCCATTAAAAAACAATTAAGCCTTAATCGAGCCTTATCAAAGGCTCATTAAAATCGCGATAAATTTTTTTAGCGCGGGAAAAAAATTTTGAAAAAATTTGGAGACAAAAAACATTCCAAAAATTCAAAAAAAAAAAAAATTTAAAAACTCCCCTTAAGGACCGCGTTTTATGTAACGCTATGTAACTTGCCCGAGTTTTCTCGGGTTATGGGCTTAAGTTATATAATATATTAAAATAAATAAATAATAAGAAATGAATGAGTAAATAAATAAATACATTATAAGTATTTATGAATTTAAAAAAAAATTATACGCGAGAATCGAACCCGAGAACTCAAGCTTATGAATCGGACTCGTTACCACTCTGCCACAGGACGCTCAACTAGAAGTACGTATAATTTATATATAAAGTGCTAAAAAACTTTAAGCTCGATTTTCTTGATTATATTTGAGTATTGCACTTTAGTATTTTACAGGTAGTACACTCACATGGTGTACTACTTCTACACCAAAGATTGTCAAAATCCGTTACCCCAAAGCCGTAGGCTCTCCTTGTGAGTATAAAAACACATTTTAAATTGAAGCACTTGAGATCCAAAAGTAGGCAAAATGTCAGAGAGATATGCCGATTGTAACAGTTCAGATCATTCCAACATATTTTTATCAGATGATGTGACAAGATATGCAGGTGATAAGGCCTTAAAAAGTGTACATAATTGTAGAACAGATTCAAATGTAATAGTCAATTGATTAATTATTAAATCCAAAATTTTTTTACAAATATTTTTACAAGTTTTTATTTCATCCTTTCTAACTTGGCACCTTCATGATTCGTGTGCCTGGAGCAGTTTGCTCCAACTGCTCCATGGTAGCTATGCCTCTGAAAATTAATGAAATGTTGCTTAGTGTGTAGGTTTGAATTATGAGAGTTACATTTAGAAGTGTGCACACAAACAAGAATTTTCACTCTAGAAATACATTAAAACTCCAAAAGATTCATTTTTTTTTAAATGTGTAAGTAATTATCAACTTTATCTTATTTAAATAGAAAAAAAATTGCCTTTAGTTAAATAAAACCTGTAACAAACACTTATATACTGAATAAAAAATTTCCTTAAAAAAGTGGGGGAGTGGCTGTGTTGGGGACACGACCGTGCGTTTTACATGAATATGTGTATGTTAACAGGTAATATTTTTACGTTCCCAGCACCGCTTCACTCTATCATATGGTGTTTTATAGGTATCACTGGAATGTTCTTGAGAAGCCCTTTCCAACCATATACAATTTCTATATTTTGACTTGGCTTTTCGACAAGTATAGGCCAACATTACATTAAATTTTCTTAATTTTTAACTTTAACACCATATATATTTACCATAACTATTCCACACTAATGTTTTGTGTACACAATCGATAAATATTGACGAGAGCTGTAAATTGAAACTCAAACGAATGCCGTAGCTTCTCCGAGTCAAAATGTATACTAAACGGAAAGTATGTGATGTGGTGAAACAACCTCAAAATGGGGCTCTTTTCCCTCCGCCGCATGCGATGCATGACAGTCCCCACTCAACATAATGAATTCTTTGATCCTTTAACTATCGAGTGGTGTAATTAAATTTTGGATGTAGATGATAGATATGTAGTTGCAATGCCAAACTGTATCCCCCAATTTTGTTATCAGTTTTCTGAATTGCCTCCCACTACTGAAGCAAATTTAGAGACGTATTCATGTCAAAAAATTCAATAAACATACTTGTTTAATAAAAATGTAAATAATATACAGGTGACAAGTGACCATTTTATTACTAGTTAGTGATTAATTTCATATGTCTATTTATTAAACTTGATATGAATATATCTAGTGCATCAGTTTAATTCTTATACATGTAATAAAACTTATTTATTATTAATTTGCATTATAAAATTATATTACTTTAAGATTATTTTACTCCACATTGTATAAATTGTGATCACACTACACATATTTTTATTTTAATGCTTCAAAAATTAATACAGATTACTTTTAAATTCCTTTATTCTTGCTTAATGTTTTTTACTGACAGCATGGTAGGTATTAGAAGCTGCAGGACCAGATTGGAAATTCTGCTTTTCCAACTTCCTATATGTTTGAATACTTTTTGGTTTTTTGGTTTATTCATTTGAAATTAAAGTGATAAACACTTAATAATCCAACAAATAAAATGAGCTCAAACTAAACAATTTTATTTTCTTATATCATGCTTAAATACTTTTTGTCAAAAATTATAATGTTTGTTTCCTGACTGTTCCAAACATAAAAAAGCAGCAATTTTTCATAAACACTCTGTGTAATCCCTTAAGCATTGTAATAATTTTAAAATTGACACACATTATCCATCAATAACTGTACTATTTTTCAACTAATATACATTTTTTCCCATTAGAAGGTGTTTGCAAGTGTGAGATCCGAATAGCACCTGGATCTAAATAACAATTTAAAAAGAAAGTTAAAATTTAGTAGAAAAATATTCTTTCATTTTGGTGAGAAATTAACAGTTTTATAACGTGGGAAAACTGATAAAACAGTCACTTCCTTTAACGGAAACTGAAGCATCTTTGGTTTTTCCCTTATCTGTTACAAATCTCACCACACTGGGAATTGATGACCCCTCATTAATTCCCCTTTTCATTCGTTCACATGAAAGAATCCAAACATGCTGATTGGTCGCAAATGAAGAGATATAGTCAGAGTTTAGCAGAATTCGAGGAGTACGTCCATAGATCTGAAAGTGGAAAGAAGTCCACATATTTGCTCCCTAAGGCCTAAGGGCCTTAGGGAGCAAATATGTGGACTTCTTGGAGTTAGGAGAACGTCGAAGGATCTTAGAGTAGTCAGACGTATTTCCATGCAGTATCCTAAAGCAAACGTCCTTAGACATACTTTCGCCAGGTTAAATGAGTTAAATTAGAAACATAGAAGATATATTTTAATATGGTGACTATCAAGACCTCTCCATGAACAGAAGCCGGAGAACTTTATAAATGAAGTACAATCGTCTAATACAGAAGAAGAAGAAGTCAACAAAAAGGTTGTATGAATAAAATGAATTTGTGAGCTCTCTCTCTCTAAGCATATATTTGGATCATTCGTTCAGTTTTACTTTTAATTAAGTTTAATTTGTATATTTATTTTTACTTTCTTTATTAAATAGTTAATCGTTTATTATTGTTAAAGAAATGTCTTATCTTTGTTTATATATCTCCACACGCGCGTTAATCCGCGTGATATAAATGTGATTAACTGGTGTCAACAGGAATCCTGACATTGGATAAAGACTTCGCCATCTATATCCTATTTAATATTTAAAAGCCCTCCCGGTCAAAATTCTTGACGTGAGATCGGATCTCGTGATCCAAAACTTTGGAGAACTAGTTTCAAACTAGCACCGATTAAGTGGTACTAACTATCCTAGCGGAGTAGTACCCCCGGCTGATCTCATAAAAGCAACAGAATTTGCCTTATTTTAATATGTCATGTAATTTACATTTCTTCTTAAATATTTAAAATATGAAAAATTGTTGCATGATGGAGAATTTTGAAGGCTATTTTTGCATTCTGCACCCCAAAATACATTAGAAACAGTCATTAAATTAACAGGGAACTAAAAACTGTGTTGTCTAGTGCTATCTACATACCTATTACATGGGTAATAGTGACATACAATTAATTGGGTGCCTGCATACTATTCTGCAGTTAAATCATTTTTCTAGAATTTTCTAGTTTACTTATTTATATTATCATTTTTAAATATAGTTAATATTTTTGAACACTTACTTGATGTTGTTGTAGGTAAGCCACTGTAACATTTTTGTTTACATTCTCTTCTGGGGTCAAAGAATATTTTTCCTATCTGAAAATTTATTATAAACATTTAAATTATTCTTACATAATAATTAATGTAATTTATTTTCTAATATGATAATTATAATTAGAAACTAATAATCAATTTAACATTAAAAATTCTTATAGTTTATTATATATGTAATATAAATTTAATCATTACATCATTAAAATTACAACAGTTAGTTACATCTAGAGAAAAAATTATGTCACTACTGTTAAAAATTCATTTCAATTAGTGGTAATAATTAGTGTTGCAATGAATAGTATATTTGGCCTCAGGCTGAATACCGAATATTCTGCCTCAGGCCGAATGCCGAATAGCCAAATATTTGGCCAAACTATTCAGCTCCATTAACGCACATACAAAAATTGGCGCGCAAACCACATTATGGCAAGACCCTGCTCTCTATTGGCCTGCTGTCACTACGCTTCGCCAATCACGTTAATTCTTGACAGTTGTAGCGGACAGACATGAGCGTCATGGCAGTATGTGATAAGTGATGATATCAAATATGGATAACAATGAAATGACCTACACGTGTAAATAACGGAAAAAGAACAGAGAAGGACCGCAAAGTGAAAATGTGAAAATAAATATGAAATTGAGTTGATAACATAATCGAACAAGTCGAGGCAGCTTATTGGCGCGAAATTTGCGGTCATCAATGCCAAATAATTGTTGTCATAGACTTCGGAAAGCTAAATGCTTGTAACGAAAGTCACTTAGCGTGCACGAATGAAAGCCTGGGACCATTCGGGCTACCGAGCTGTCTCAAAACTGTGAAATCATAACTGTGACTTATACCAATGTCCTATCTGTCTCTCTTCTCCTTTATCACCAGGCATGTAATTGTAAAATGGGAAATATGCAACAGGAAATCGAAAGTATCGTGAGCGCGTATTATGATGTATGCATAGGCATACATGGACTAGAGTGATAGAGGAAAGAGAAAGAGAAGAGCAAAGATGAGCGCTTAAAAAGAAAGATAAACAGGGTCAGACCCTCGAATGTGCAATGATTCTCGAACGAATAGGTGTGTACGTGTGCTGATTTTTGTAATTATAAATTGTGAATACATGTGACTAATATTGATATTTTCTTTTTTATTTTGTGCATGTTATAAGTTATAAATAAATATAAACAAACAACACTAACCCGATAACATTAAATTTAAATACCAAAATGATTAATTTACTGTGTTTTTGTTATTTATTACTCCTGTTTATAGGTACTCGATATTCAGCCGAATAGCGAAAAATAGGCCGAATAGGCTGGATACTGAATAGTAACCGAATATTCGTTACATCACTAGTAATAATTCATAGCCAATATAACAAGTTTTTCATTAATATTAAAACATCCAAAAACAGTAATGGAAAAAAAATAAATAAAAGAAATTTTTAAAACCATTCCATTTAAAATCAAGACTTAACCAGATTTTATTCTACACTTCAAAATTTTACAATACAGAAATCATCATAAATACTAATCTCTAAGACACTATGTAATGTTCTATGAAAAAAATTGTGGTGTCTCATAGTTCAAATTTAATTCATTTTAGGAGGTCATTCAAACTAAATCATTTGAAGTTCAAATTAGTTTTTAATCCATTTCCAGACCCTAAACAATATCCGTTTTAATAATTTAAAACAGCAAATACACAATTTAAATTCCCTAATAATAAATTAAAATATGAAAACAATAAATAAAATACATAACTACTGTATAATAAAATGAAAATTGCATTTACTGGTTGCATGTAGTCAACTTTTGGCATCTTAAACATGAATATCAGATATGCTTTCATAATGCAATGATACCTTTCTCATCTCACAATCATTGATATTACAACCTTCCTCTTAGGCTTCATGTTTCCACAAACTTCTCAAAAGTCATGGTTAATAAATACAGGTTATAAACTTTACTTATTAACCATGCTATAATATGAATTGGGTNTTGTGTACATCTGTATTCGCAACATGGTCAAGTTGAGTGAGTCCTAATGACCAGCAAAGCATTTACATCTCCATTCCACAAAGAGCTTGCTCATGCCTTACAGTCACAGCCAGCACTCTGTCGCATACAACGCCACTAGTCAGACGACAGTCTTATAGATATATCTAGAAAAAATTTGCATTGTGTTTTCATACAAAAAATTTTTTTCTAGATATATATATAAATTTTTTGTATGAAAACACAATGCAAACTTTTGAAGAATAAAAGAATGTAAGTCCATCAACCATCTCCAGTTAAAAATCAAATTAAACTTTGATTTTGACCAATCCCACGATCTAAGTTGAGACCTCATTACACATAGTAACGAGTGGTCAACCACTTAGAAAGCGAGAATGATGAAAAGCTACCAATCAGAATGGGCGATTGAGGATGGAAATTAAGAAAATCCTGAGAATTCAGAGTGTCTTCTCCCAAAAGTTCCAAGTGTCTAACCAGTTGTTGCGTGTCTCGTGCCCATCTTCGTATCCATCTCCCGACCTCGGATCAACATCTTCCCATCACCAGAAGTCAACTGCATCATCCTGGAGTTGTTGAGAGATCAAGGGAATTGTCATTTGCAAACCAAGGACACTCCTTCATTTGAGAATATCTTGGTGAGAAGAGGAAGACCCAGAGGCTGATGGCAACTTAGAACTTCCAAGATCGTAGAAATCTTATAAGCCTTTTTTTTCATGTCAAATAAATGGTTTCTTGTAACCGTAGAGTCTGTTTCAGTGCCAATCGCCCACATACGACCCTTCATGACCCTCTTGACATTTCCCAATTTTTTAATAATTAGATAAAGTATATTATCTCTAATTATGATTATATATAATTTTGCATTTTTCTCATAAATCAAAATATATTATGAAAAAAAAATCTTTCAAAACTAATTTTTAAAAAATAATAATAAACAAAATTTTAAAGTTGGAACATACCAAACTTTGAGTTTCTGGATAAAGAACTGGAAGAGAGCTTTTTAAAGAATCGTAATAAAATCTGGAATCATTAGGAATTGGTATAACTGAAGTTACAGTCATTGGATGAGAAAATGTACTGTAAACATGAAGACTGTGAGAAGATATTTTCCCCTGAAAAATAAATAGTATTTTTTGATAAAATTATAAAAGCATACACATAATATTATTTAAAAATAAGCAGATAACATCCAGAATGATTAGTTAAATTATAAATAAAACATAGTTAAAACAATTATCTCATTTTTAATCCATTTTATTTCAATATCATAAATATATCATTTATAGATTGCCATCTACCTAAAAATCATTTATTATTTATATACATACAATTATATACATACTAATAGTCAATTAAATTAAAATAAGTTTATTAAATATTTGATTAAAAGTATTAATTCATCAATACACTGGAAATTCCAAACATCTTTTTCTGCTAAAACATTTTTTTAATAAAAAAATGTTCTGTAAAAGGCCTATAATGGTAAACACCATCAATCTTTTACACTATTTGATCATTAATTAAGTAAATTAATTATGTTTCAGGATGTTAAATTATGATCAAAATAATTCTTTTCATTTATATATAACGAAAAAACTTGGTTATAACAAAAAATAATTATAGTACTTTAGAATAACAAAAACTCATCAACATACATATACTCATACAAACATCTCAAAGCACAATGATTATATTAAAGCCATATGATTACTGAATTAAATCAGGCTATATTAAAATATGTATGCTTAATTTCTGTCTACACACATGAGCATGGGTTGTTTGGAAAGTAATTTCATTTTTTTCATGAAAAAAAAAAAAAACAATTTTCTTATAATATAAACATTTTACTGAATTATATATTTGACCATTTACCTTTTGCCATCTTTCTAGTAGTAGCATGATTCAATGCTCATATAAATTCTGATCTTTGATTACAAAAAACTGATCCAAGTGACTTTTGACATCCTCATTTGAATTAAATATTTTACTATTTAAAAAATTTTGTAAAGATCGGAACAAGTTATAATCCGAGGGTGACAGATCTGGCAAATATGGTGGGTGTGGCAGCACATCCCATCAAAGCTGTAACAGCTTCTGACCAGTTACTAAACTTGTGTAAAGCCTGGCATTATCATGGTGAAACACTATACCTTTGTGTTGATCAATTCTGGCCTTTTATGTTTGATGGTATCACTCAATTTGTCCAGTTGATGGCAGTACATTTCAGAATCAATTAGGGAGTTGTCTAATAGAAGCTCGAAAATAACAATTCCTTTAAAATTCCACCAGAGAGCATTCCCCCCCCTTTTTTTTTTTTATGAAAATTGGTTTTCAAAGTGCTTTAGCTGGCTCATCTCTTCTACTCCGTGATCGCTTTCATTCAATATTATTATAAACAATCCATTTTTCATTGCCAGTTATGATTCGCGTCAAAAATGGATCATTTTCTTGACATTTGAGAAGCAAATCACAGATGCCAATGTGACGAAGCAAATCTCTTTCTTTAAGAACATGTGGAACCCATATATCAAGCTTTAAAATGAAACCAAGTCATTTCAAGTTATCATAAACAGTTGAATTCAACAAATTTAATCTCAACAATTTCTCGTGTTGTTATTCAGAGTTTACCTCAATCAATACTTTTATTTTGTCTTCATCAGCTTCCACTGGCCTTCCAGAACACAGTGCATCTTCAATATCAAAATTGCCAAAGCAAAATTTGGCAAACCAGTTTTGGCATTGTTGTTCTGTCAACACATCTTCTCCATACATGTCTCACAATTTTTTTTCTTGCTTGAACAACATTCTTACCTTTTCAGTTATAAAAAAAGCAAAATATTCAAAAATGCTGCTTTTGATTTTCCATATCTGATGAGACCCCCAAAAAAACAATCGCAAAGAATCAAACATTTTTTACAAATAAGCCTTGAAATGTCAGCTGTCAAAATAAATAATGACAATATGATTTAGAATAAAATTGGTGGGTAAAGTGCAACTAATCCCTCTGGTGGGTAAAAAACACAAAATTACTTTCCAAACAACCCAATATATACACACAGTATATAGTGTATTTTAAAAAGTGCATGCTTTTTATAACTATTACTTATATTATTTGTATATCTAAAAATAATCATTTGTAAATCTCTCTCTGTCCTAGCGTTAGTCCTGCTATGGTGCAGGAATGCCAATCTCCACTTTTTTTGATCCAAGGCGTCCCCTGGGGTAACACCTACTAGCCGTATATCTTCCCTTACCCTGTCCATCAAGCATTTCCTAGGCCTCCCGCAAGGACGCTGTCCAACTGGGTTGAGACGGGTGGCCATTTTTGCAACAGATTGTTCACTGCTTCTGACATGGCCATACCAGCGTAGGCAATTCTCACGCATTTTCTCAATAATTGGCGCCACCCCATGATCTTGTGTACATCTGTATTCGCAACATGGTCAAGTTGAGTGAGTCCTAATGACCAGCAAAGCATTTACATCTCCATTCCACAAAGAGCTTGCTCATGCCTTACAGTCACAGCCAGCACTCTGTCGCATACAACGCCACTAGTCAGACGACAGTCTTATAGATCTTCAATTTGAGTCAAATGGGTATTTTCCTGTCACAGAGGGCTCCAGTGACCTGTCGCCATTTCAACCATGCTGCGTTGACTTGTGCTCATGCATCAGGAAGAGTGTCTCCATCAGATGTAAGCAAGGAGCCCAGGTATTTAAACTGGGTAGTTTTTGAGAGTTCTTTGCCACTGACATTGATAGTGCCAGGATTTTGCTACCCACACTCAAGGTATTCAGTTTTCTCAAGATTCAGTCACAGGCCATTTCAGTTACAGGTGTTCATTCCATTCCTGTGTTTGGAGTTGCAAGTTGTCCCGAGTCTCACTGGTAAGGGCCACATCATCTGCATACAGGAGGGACCATGGGTGGAGCGCTTGTATATCAGCAGTTGCTGTACAAGCGCTCCACCATAATACATAAAATAAACAGCAGCGGCGACAGTGCAGACCCTTGGTGAACTCCAACATTAATTGGAAATGATAGTGAAATTCCCGCAGGACATTTAACAAAACTTGAGACATTGTAATAAAACATTTGGGTCCACTTCACATAGACTTCAGGGACTTCATGGTTTCGCATTGCATGCTAAATAAGATCATGTGGAACCCTATCAAAGATCTTCTCGAGGTCCAGGAATGCCATATATATATGGCATGGTTCTTTTCCCGCTACTTTTCAACAAGCATTCATGCCGCATAGATTGCATCTGTGGTCCTGCAGCCCGACAAAGCTACACTGGTTTGGGGTAATGGACACGATACTGCGGAGGCGATTATCTATGATGCATTCAAAGATTTTCATTGTGTGACAGAGTAGGTGGATGGGTCGATAATTTGCACATTCACTGACATCACCTTTGGCTTTCAGATTGGCACTGATGCTTGTCATCCAGGCACTGGGGGCTTTATTTTCAGTATCTGTTAATCATACTATCAAAATATTTTTAAAATTATTATTATTATTATTATAAAATATTGATCTGTACTGATAAAAACCATTTCATTTTACATTATAAATTCTTATTTTTAACTGTAAAAAAATCTAATATCTCTTTTCATTATAACTTTTGTTTCCAAATTAAATAAAGAAGACTCTCCCTTATCTAGCTTCTCAATTATACAATATACTCTCCAGTATGATTACCTATGCACTTGTTTCCATGAACATGTTAGTCATGTTACACACCTGTTTTCAACATCTCATTTACTCAGGTTTCACTTCTATCTACAGTACTGCATGTCAATATGCTATACCATTTGCCTGCCTGATTACAAAACAATCAGAACCAAAGGGCAACAGGTCACATCATTCATTGTCTTTAGGTGTATACACACTCAGTAATCCAGTATTCTTCCAGAAATAGCTGGACTAGCAAGAGTTTACTGTAATGTAGTCATTTGTTAATTTAAAATAAAAAATAAAGATCATATGTGAAATTATTATTTGATTAATATCGATAAAAAGCTAATATTTAAATTAATGGGACAATACTAAAATATAAATAAAATGTTATAGATAACATAGATTTGCAGAAAATTTATTGTTAAAAAAATAAAATTAATTAAAAAGCAATATTAAAAGTACACAATCCATATGAAATTATTTAAAAAATAAAATAATTATATCCTATTTACAATTTGTTAAATTATGGTTGTAAGGAACCAAGTCTGAGCTTTATTTTTATTTTACTTTTATTTTGCTTTCATTATATTTTGTTTGGGGCTTATGTTTATTTAAGACGAAGGTTTCCTCACCATTCACCTTAGTAACTTAAAAATAGAAGAAAAACCAACTCACCGACGAAAGAAAAGCGCCGTAGAAAAACTCGCGCACACTTGCGCTTCCCAAGCGGAAAAAGTAAGTCCGCACCGAGAAAAAGGGGGGGGAAGACCCCACAACCCAGTTAGGAATCGCTAAACCTTAAAATAATAAAGCATCCCGATAATTGTTAAAAAGAATAATGTAAAAGGTTAGCGAAGTATTGTCGGAAAATAATCTGCCAGATAAACGAGAAAAATTTAATGTTACAGATAATTATGTAAATGAGGAGAGTGAGCTCATTCAGAATTGTGACGTCACCTCACACTATAAAGCCTCTAACTCAAGTGAAAACGAACGAGGTGAATTCCTGATAGCAACGAGCTTATAGCAGTGAACGAGAGAGAGGTGTCCGATAGGATTTTGAAGTTATTCGATTTGTGGATCGACGGTTATAGAAAGTCTTGAGAGTTTGAGGAAATAGGTTCCTAGTATATTGAGGTGACGATTAGGATCTTTAATTTATAAGAATTATTGTTTATAAGTTAATTCTTTGATTTTGTCGAATTCCAAAGGGGAATAGAATTAAGTTAGAAATAGATTGATTTGAGTTTGTCGGATTGATTCTTGTTGAGTTCCATTGAATAAATTATTGTTTGATTTTTACTAAATACTGTATAGAATTTATTAATAGAAGTTTAATTAAATATTTGATTTTGTTATTGACAAACTTTGTCATTATTTAATTCGGTGCACGCTTAAAGTCCAGGCCTGGCACACTAACGCGAATCCACGTAAAGTACCCGTTAGGGAACGGCTATTTCCGGCACACAGTAGTGTCGATAATCGTTGGAAAGTCGAAAAAAATAATATAGTACTTTACATGGTTAAGTTTTAAATATTTTGTTTTATAATTTATTATTTGCTTCATCTCAATAATCATCTTACAACAATATAGCATATAATGCATAATTAATATATATTACATGAAATTAAAATTCAAATACAGTAGAGCATCGATTATCCGACTCAATTGGGGACTGGGGTTGGTCGGATAACTGAAAAAATGGATAACCGAAAAGTATGAAAAAATACATTATTAGTATAATATATTATTATATCTCGTGTAATTAGTATATTAGTATATCGCTATTAACCTACTTCGCATTGAATTTTCATTGATGTTAAGCCTAAGAAAATTTTTTAAAAATAATAATTGTTGCTATTGTGTCGTTAAAAATTATTTTATTGCTTACAAAACAAACAACCACTCATAATTAGAAAATTAAGCCTCGTTTAAATACTGGCAACCCTTTCAGGGTCGAGCCAGTGTTGCCATCTAAAACACCAAAAATTTAACGAAAATAATATTAAAGTAGCCAAGACATAGCCAAATATTATAGCGCCACATCACCAGCAGACATTTGAATTTGCCGACTAGAACGTGCTCGGTTAACCGATGTGAAGGTTGATTGGGGGTCAGATAATCGATGCTCTACTGTAAGTCTATAAAAAATCTACAGATATTTCTATCCAACATTTAAAAATTTACTTACAGGAAAAGCATTCTGGAAAAACATAGAATCAGCTTTTAAGCTTCCTTTTGCCGTTCGTAAAGAAAATGCAACTTTTATCACCTGCGATACAAATGTGTAATACTTGCTTACGTGTTTTAAATTAATGGATTAGATTCATAAATACAGAGTGTTCACTCAAAAGTAACCAATTTTAATTTGCCATAAAAAATGAATGGTTTAAGACAGCGATTCTCAACTGGTGTGCCACTGTCCAGATTGATTGGTTTTCTATTTATTACTTCATAACCAGTAGGCTGTGGCTCACTTATTGTGAACAAGTGGTTTAAGATATATAAAAGCAACAAATGGCAACTAATGGAAAAACTCATAAAGTTTAATAGATTTTTTTTGTACCGCAAGAAAGTGCAGAAGTCAAATCATGAGCATTACTGTCCAATCATGGCTTTGCCATAGGAGAAAGCACAGATTGTGGTCTGGTATGCTGATAGCATGGTTACCAAGATCTCTTGATCTAACCACCTTAGATTTCCTTCTGTGTGGTTATGTAAAAAATAAGGTTTATGCAACTTTAGTCAGAGACCTTCAGGATCTTTAGGAGTGCATCATCATAACCATTGCCACTGTGCTGCAGCATACATAGAAGGAAATTGTCTACTATCTTGTTATCACTGACTGATGGAACACACACAGATGTGGTGATTTTTTCAATGAAATTTGATGAGTTTTTCTCTTATAAATTCTTTGGTTATCTTTAACTGTTAATTTTTTTATAGCCAAATCAAATTAGGTACTTTTGAGTAGAACACCCTGTATTATATTTCTTAAAATACTATAATTATATATTCATATTTTTATTTAAAATTAATAATACTAAGAAAATTTCATCTAATTACATACTTATAATTAGATTACTATGTAAAAATTTATAATTATAAAATCATCTGTAAATGGCCACACCCATACCAACACAAACACAAACAAAAATACATAGAATGGCCATAGACTCAGTAACTTGATACTTTCAATTATGAAAGTGGCAACTATTTGATTGTGATAATTTTCTTTTGATAATGTAACAATTTTTTTAGCTGTTGTTTTGATTACTGTTTTACTTTCAATTTTCTTCATCTATAAATTTTATTTTAAAAAATGCATATCAGTACAGACTAATATTTAAAAACTTGAAAACTAACCTCTGTTAAGAAACAGTAACAAATTTATCATTGTAAATAATAAATTAAAATAATAGCAATGACATGCTGAAAATATTAATAAAGTAATAATATTACTCTATTAATATTATTGTCATTATTACTTTATTTATATTTCTCATACACTAAAAGTTGATATTGGTAACACCACAACACTTAAGTGTAGTTACTATATATTCAAAAGTTGGCATGAAGTGTAATTTATTTTAGTTTAATAAAGTAAATTTTCATAGTGCAATTATTTAATTTGTTAGTAAATATGCTAATAGTTTCACCTTCCATTGATTCCATAATAGAAGTTAATCAAGTTAAAATGCTAATAAATTAACGATTCTATTTTTATTTCAATAAAATGCTTTTTGAGACCCAGCTCAAACCAAAAGTTGTTCTAATTTGAACATAATGTAAAGCTACTGGTTAAAATTCAATCTTATTCATTCCATCAAGATTATTTTTGTGAAACAAAATAAATAAAAACAAATGCATATTGATGTACTGTACATACACATGCAAACAAAAACATAGAGTATCTTGATTTATTAGTTGAAATGATTTTTAATTAAGATTTAATATGCTACACATTTTAAAAGGTTATAATTTAGAAAAACATTTTTAAAAATTAATTTCATAATCTTAATAATCAAATAATCCAAACATTTAATTTATCTACATATTAAAAAATTTAATTATGTGTATATTTTACTTACTTCATACTGAGTTTCAACAAAAGCTTCTTTAATAAATATTCCTTCATCTGAAGGAGCAATTACTTCAATCCGAAATATTGCATAATGATTGGGTTTTAAAATAAACTGAAAAATAATTTTAATAAATAAAACAGTAATATTTTACTTTAATACTGTTTATCTATGAGGCAGATTCAATAAATAAGATCAGTAACACTGCTTAAGAAAAATAACATGGCATACAAGGTTGAGCCTAATAATATTGATAGAATATACAGTAATGCAGCTCTGTACTGTACCATTAGTTGTCCCTACCAGGTGACATTTGTACTCATTACATGGTTTACAAAATAGCATCACCATATCAAACTTCACTTCAATCAATGAGCAGCTATTTGAGTTTTAACAGCTGAAGGCATTACATTTATGAGTTATTGAAATCCATCACAGGATGTATCAATATGGAGAGTCAAGCTTGCAAATGTGTTCAAAAGTTCAAGAATGGCCAAACAAGCATAGATGATGAGCTGTGTTTACATTTGAACCAAAGATTTTTGTAACAACATCCATGACTCTATATTGTGCATACATCCTGTGATGGATCTCATGATGACAAATGCCTTTGACTGTTAAAAATCAAATAACTTACTATTTAATTCTGGTGGTTTGATATGGGTATTGCCATTTTGTAAACCAAATGGTGGTTGCAAATGCTATTTGGTGGGGATGACTATTGGTACTGTTGGATACTGAGTAACTGTTTTTGCTTCATTATTATTAGTCTTAACCATGCACATTATGTTGTTTTTCTTTAACTGCACTACTGATCTTAATTATTGAATCTGCCTTGTATTTTTATTTCAAGTATATAAAACAATAAAAAATAATAAGAACTATTTGATATTAAACTTGAGTTAGATTCTTAATGATATAACTGGAAGTGTAAATGCTACACATTAAAAGAATGTTATATATTTTGCATCACAGTTTTAATGTTTAACATCTTTTAATTTTTTCGCTGTCCCTGTTTTGACTGAATTTATCCATCTACATAATATTTAGTACAAGAAGTTTAAGATAAGACATCTTTTTTAAATTTCTCCACTTCAAAATTAAACAATATTCTAAGTCTGTTCCAATATAACAACTTTTTAATAATCTATTATAAATAAGCTACATAAATAAAAATAAATTTAACTTACATAATATATAATTAAATAAATTAAATTAAACTTGCCAGCTGTACAGTTATTGTAAATCCCTAATATTGCCTCTTCTTTAAAAAAGAATGTAATTATTAAGCATTCCTACTCTTTGAATAGACAAAATTTTTAATTTGATATCAAATTTTTTTCTCTCTCTAACATAGTAATCAACTATATATTTAAAAATTTTTATAAAATGTGTAATAATATAAATATCCACTGTTCCATTACTTAATTGAGGTGTGCCCAAAAAATATTTTTCCACATAATATTAGGTTGGATAATACATCCTTAGCCATGCTTTCTTTACTAGGAACAGTTTTCTTTATGTATCACAAAAGTTGTTAATAGATGGTGCTTATCTATTGCACATGCTCAATAGAGAAATGTGGAAATTGTTTATTGTATTTCTTATCATTATATTAATAACTGCTGTACTAAGATTTGATTATTTTTGTTTTCAATAAATTTTGGCTTTGCAAATTAAGTTATACGTTATTTCTTGTCATCTATGTCATCTAAACAACTTATAAAATGTTAAGAAAAGTTTACATAGATAAAATTTAGATTATATACTTTTCATATATTCTAATTCATCTTAAATTTGCAATTTGTCAACACTAAAATTATTTAATATTGAAATTTATATAACTGATATTAGCATTAATAAATGCTACAAAATATAACAAAAAATTACATTACAAATATTGAAAACAATTATACTTACACTCTTTGATAATGATGAGAAATTATGCCTCCAAGCTAAAGTACTTGCATTTCCTTTATCTAAGCCTACTAAATCAACATAAGATTTTGGCATATCTGATCCCCAATTTTTTAGATTTACCTAAAAATATATTCATTTATAACTGATTTTTATCAGATAAATTTTCACACAATTTAATTAAATATTTTAGTTATTATTTTAAACACATCAGAGGTTATGTTTTTCAATAATAAATTTCATTCTAACTTATATTAGACTAAAACAATGTAAATTAATGATAAATATTTAAAGTTTATTAAAAAACAAATTGAGAAAAAATTTTTGCAAAGTATCTATAAAAATCTATCAAATATCAATAAAAAGTGAAAAATTATGTTCAAAAATATTATGATGGCCATCAATGAGCTACATTGATTGTGGTGAGTTTATCTGTGGTGACTGTTTAATGGGAAGTGTCAATTTAATGTTTTGAAGGGAGATAGAAGAATAAAAGGGAGAGACCCTTTTATTCTTCTGTCTCCCTTCAGATACAGAAAAAGATTAATCTCCTTGAGACAGAAGAATAAAAGGGAGAGACCCTTTTATTCTTCTGTCTTAAGGAGATTAATCTTTTTCTGTATCTGAAGATATAGATTCATTGGTTAGACATTCTGAATGTTAAGCCATTAAAGATTTTTTTTACTTCCTGTAAGAAGCAGACTTGGAATTCTGAGGTGACATCAGATGATCTGAAAGATACTATAGTGTCTTGCATCACTTCAATTAATGAAAAATTTAAAAGATAATAGTTAAATTGAAAAATTTAGAAAAATGGTACACAGAAATTCTGAATAAAATATCTACTTTAGAAATAGCTAATGAATACTATGTAGATTGTTTCTTCTCAATACATTTAAGGCACTAATTAAATTTATGGTGTTCAAAAGGAAGAAGTAGCTATGTTAAAGAAAAAGTTAGCTTCTTCTAAACACCAACCAAATGCCGAAATTCTATTGGGCTAGTTTAAGGCTAATTACTAAATGAATTACGTAACCAATTTGGCTCTAGAGGTAAGCGTTAGGCACCATCTCGTATTAATATTAATAATTATAAATTAATTAATTAATTTAAATAATTTAGAACTGCTGGGGGGGAAAAAATTGGCCTGGAGCAGGACTCAAACCCACAACTCCTGCTTACCGTGCAGATGCATTGCCAGTTACGCTATCCGGACCTCCAGTCTGATCTCCTCTTCCAGTGTATAGAAGCTAATGTTATAACCATTGCCGGTTATTACAACATCGACAGTTATTAATTAATTAAATTAAACTAGCCTGATAGAATTTTGGCATTTGGTTGGCGTTTAGCTATAATATGTATCAGGTTTAGCGATGTTTGTACATATTACGCCTTGCTGGGGCTTGCGATGGCCAGTTGAGTGCCTTATAGGACGTGGGCACTGGATGTGTCCCCAGCCGGCGTTGTAATAACCATCGATGGTTATAACGTTAGCTTCTATACACTGGAAGAGGAGATCGGACTGGAGGTCCGGATAGCGTAACTGGCAATGCATCTGCACGGTAAGCAGGAGTTGTGGGTTTGAGTCCTGCTCCGGACCGATTTTTTTTCCCCCAGCGGTTCTAAATTATTTAAATTAATTAATTTATTTATAATTATTAATATTAATACGAGATGGTGCCTAACGCTTACCTCTAGAGCCAAATTGGTTACGTAATTCATTTAGTAATTAGCCTTAAACTAGCCTGATAGAATTTCGGCATTTGGTTGGTGTTTAGCTATAATATGTATTGGGTTTAGCGATGTTTGTTAGCTTCTCCATTTTCTTTTTCTTTTGTTTTGTGAAGCAGCTTCAGTTTTTGACTCATGAAATATTCTGAATCTATGACAATTAAGGGTGCAATCTTCCAACCCATTACATTTAATTTTTCTTTCAAGTTAATAGTAAAATATTGAAAAACTTTTTATCCCTAAAATTAGTATTAATTTTTAGAAAGTAAGGTTCTGTTTTAGACACAAGTTCCAACATAATGTAAAAAAGTTGTTAATAAATGTCAGAGACAACTTTGCTCTGTTGGAAACATCTAGGAGGTTTTTTTTTTTGGGCAGACTGTCTTTTGTTTAATAATCTAGGAGTTTGTAAAATTCCTATATTCAATAGCACTAATGGTGACAATACATCTTATATAGTGTTGAATTGTTTAGGACTTGTCAACAAAACAATTTGGATTGTGCTCTGACTCCAAATGAATTGAACAGTATGCTTTACAAGCTTTACACCTGGTAACTCCCAAGACTGATTTTATTCTTAAGCATTAAGATACACTCCAAACAAACAGATTTAACGTATGTTATTATTGGCATTTAATCAAAAATTTTGTATTAGATTAAATGTGCTTGTTTGCAGATGAATATCATAATTTCTTTAATTTATAAAAAGGAGAAAACAAACTCAAATAATTATAGGCCTATTGATTTGCTAAATACATGTATAAAAATGTATATAATTATTTTAAATAATTGTATAATCAGGTGGCTTAATTATTATGACAGATGGTCTATATATCAGTTTAATGATGATGAAGTTTAAAAATGATTGCTTATTTGTTTTTACTTCAATTGTATAATACCAATTGTCTGAGAAATAAATAAATAATAATGATAAATTTTATAACCATGGGAGTGCCAAAAGTATTAATAAATAATTATTATATGTAACATAATTCGAATAGCAAAGAAATAAAAATAAAGATAAACAACAGAGATGAAGGTAATGGATAATAAAATAAGCCTAATTAGTATTCTGTAAAAAAAGGAAAAAGTGAACAAATGTAATAAGCAGCCCAAGTATGATTTATAGTGCAACCATTATCTAGGTGTTTGATTAAGATGTATATGTATATCAGATGTACATTACAGTATACATACATCTTTAGCAAACATTTAAATGTTATTAATATGCATGACACACATTATAAATCATACTTGGGCTCCCTTATTAGATTCATTTAAATTATTTTCTTTATATAGCATGATAATTAGAACATTTTATTATTATTTAATCCCTTCATTCTCTGTATTATTTACTTTCAATTTTTAGTTTCATATTTCTTATTCAAATTTTCAAAATCACTATTTATCAATATGATTGTCAATTTAATTAATCTAATAACAAGGATAACATGATTACATATTTTAATAGTTTCTTATTCAGAAATATCCATGTTTTAAATTTTGTTCTATTTCTTTTTACACATTCTTGTTTAAAAATTTGGTTAAATACAATATTCAATTTGTTATTAATATAAAATATGTAGGCCTACAGTACCAGATGCTGAACGCTTCTGATTATCACATCAAAGTTTATTTATATACGCGAGTAAATAATTGTGATCTGACAAAACCAATGAAAAATAAATTTATTGCTAACTTGAAATGATTTTCAATTTTTTAAAATCTTACCTTCCGTCATCATTTTTCCTGTTTTTTCATCATGTTTTGTCATCCACAGTAACATGCATCTCCTGCATTGTCGCCATTTTTCATTCAAATGTCGCTCCAATTACCTATAATTCATTGGAAAGTAGCAGTCAACATATCTGTTGAACGTTGAGATCAGTGCTGAGTGCTGAGTGTCTGCTTCTATTATACTATTTTAGATGCGGTTTCTTGCGTTTTTGATAGCGTTTTAATAGGGTACGTCAACAGAATATACACTAAAAAGGGATTTTTCGAAAAATTCCCTCCCCCACGGGGGAAGTGTTATACATTTATAATAGATACATTTTGAGCCACAACAATGCATGGCGGGGTCTGCTAGTTTGACATAAAGAACATATATTTTATATAAAATAAATTAAAAATATGATTAAGGTTTGTAGCCCGGTATTCCGGCATCATCATAAAAAATAATTGTTAAAATTGATGATATTTTTTAATCACATTGTTTTGATTCCAAAACATTGTATCTTTTCATAGGATCGAACGGTTCTTCATCCATACCAGTTTTTTTCAATAACAGGGTTATATGAAATCGAGGATTACAGTGGATTTCATTGTTATTCTTTATATTATGTGGATTATGTACAAACAGTATTTTTTATAACTAGTACTGATACAGTATGGATATTAGTGGTTTTTTTTTTAAATTTTCTAAAAATCATATATTAGGGATATACAGTAGTGTGAGATTCTGAATATTTTAAGTTAAAATATTCTAAAAATTAATATAAAATAATTTAAAAATTTAATATAATATTTCGATATTTTTATCAAAGCTAAAAATCAAAGAGAACAAGGAACAAATGTTTCCTGTGATGAAAGTCAGTTCCTGAGAGAGATCTTTGTCTCCCATGACTAAAACCAAAAAGATTCATCATGATACTCTGCCAGACGATCTTAACTCTTAACATCCATTGGAGGAGAAAAAGAATATAAAAGAGGGATATGCACCAAAATCAGCGCACATCATAAGGTATCCTCTTATTATGAATTTGTATGCCATATTCCCGGGGATTGGAACTTCCTTCCACGCAATAGAATTAGGATAAATCAAGTTATTACAGAGGTAATATAATATCGTTTGTAAACTCTTTATCTTATCTCCCATATTAACTCTTTATCTTATCTCCCATATTATATTGTAACGCTCTCTGAGCTAGATTAAATATTTAGTTATTTTATTTGTAATCAATTTTCTTTTTTGTTATTAAAATTTTGTTGTTTACGTGTTCAGTTAGGCCAAGACTCCACTAGCGTAAAATCGGGCATAAACCTTCGCCGTAAAAACTTTTAATCGTTTGCGTCTGGATTGCGGTGGATGTCTGGCTAGCGAAGTTTTTACGGTGACGGTACTGTCGAAGTTATAAAGACAATAATTATATTCTACGAGTTTTTTCTGTACTATAATTACAAATGTAGTAAAAATAATATTTTTACTTTCATATATTAACTTTTATTATCGTATTATTAAGATGATATACAGCACTTATAAGCTTAGCTTTTTTCACTATATACTCCACTAAATTGAAGGATTTTCCTTCGGCCGTCCATATCGCGTGTTTTAGGCATCCATTATTATTATCTGGATACTTCTTTTCGTAAATACTCGAATACTTTCGGATGTTTTCGATAAATCTTACC